ATCGTTTGATTCGTCCGCTCCGTTTGGCCGTCGGTCTCCGGGTGGTACGACGAACTGGACTGTAGACTGGTCCCGAACTACTCCCAGAGGTTTTTCCAGAAGTTGTTGGTAAATTTCGTGTCCCTGTCGCTGATAATCGCTGCTGGTATCCCGTGCAGGCGAACAACGGCTGCGATGAACAGGCGAGTGGTCTCCTCGGCTGAGATCGACTTTTTGCACGCAGCGAAGTGTGCCATCTTCGTCAGCCTGTCAACGACGACCATCACCGCGTCGTTACAAAGTCCATGGTAACCTGCTGCGAGGCGCGATCGGGCGGTGGTATCGGCTGCAATTGACCCGCCTTCCGCTTCCTTGAGCTCTTCATCACCTGACACGTGGGGCACGAGCCCACGTGTTGTTGTACGTCGGTCAACAGCTCCGTCCAGTAGTAGTACCGCTGCAGTTGCTGTCGCGTTTTTTCTACCCCAAAATGTCCCGAGGTAATTCCGTCATGTGCCTCCTGGAGTAGCAGCTCCCTCAGTAGTGCGTACGCGGGTACCTAGATGCGGTTGGTGCCTGTTTTTTCGTAATAAACTCCTTTAGCTTCTGCCAGTTGCTGTGAGTTTCAAGTCGTGAAAAATGGGTCGGTGCGGTATCCGTGGGTGAATAGGCCTGTTAAAAGTGGGTTGGTTTGGGCGAGTAGGATGGCGTGGAGTTGGGCGGTGGGGCGGGTGAGTGCGTCGGCGATGTTGGAGGCGCCTTTTTTGTACGTTTCCGTGTAGTGGAAGTTGGACTCGAGGTAGTCCAACCAGCGAATCTGTCGCGGATTGAGATTTGGTTGGGCGCGTAGGTACTGTAGTGATCGGTGGTCTGTCCGTACTGTCACGTCGGCGCCAGTCAGGTAACACCGCCAGACTTTGAACGCGTGCACGATCGCCAACATTTTGCGGTCGTGTATCGGGTAGTTGTGTTCGGGCGGGTGCAGCTTGCGGGACTCGTACGCGATTGGCTGGAGGTCGTCCCCGAAATCCTGCAACAGTAGTGCTCCCACAGCGATGTCACTTGCGTCAGTGACGAGCTCGAACGGACGGTGTGGATCTGCGATGTGAAGCACGGGCGGTGAGCACAAAATGTTTTTGAGGGCCGAGAAGGCAGCTTGCTCTTTCTTTCCCTACGTGTACTCAACCCCCTTCCTCAACAGGTCGGTCAACGGGGCAGTCAGCTTCGCCATGTCGGGGACGAACCGGCGCACGTAGTTGAGGAACCCCAAAAAACTCTGCAACTCGGTCAAGTTGTTCGGCGCGTGCCACGCTTGAATCGTCGCAATTTTCTTCGGGTCTATTTCCACTCCTGCAGCTGAAATAACATGTCCCAAAAACTCCAGGCGGTTCTGTAAAAATTCACACTTAGACGTTTTTGTCAGTAGGCGGTTCTCACTCAGTAATTTAAAAACTGCTTCGATGTCCTGTAGGTGTTGTGCTCTGTCAGGGCTGTAAATCAGTATGTCGTCCAGGTATACGATGACGCACTTATCTAAGAGCGGGCAGAAAGCCTCGTTCATGGTCATTTGAAAAGTGGCGGGGGCGTTGGTTAGTCCAAAAGGCATGACGGTGTATTCGAAGGATCCGTATCGTGTTCTGAATGCGGTCTTAGGGCAGTCGGGCGGATTGACGCGAATCTGGTGGTAACCTTCGCGGAGATCGATTTTCGAGAAAACCCGGGCTGTGCGCAGTTGGTCGATCAGTTCGTCGGCTCGTGGGATGGGGTAACGGGATTTGATGGTAACACTGTTCAGTTTTCTGTAATCTATGCACATGCGAAATCCCCCGTCTTTTTTCGGTGTGAACAATATCGGTGCTGCGAAGGGCGAATGAATTCCTTCTCGAGCAGGTAATCGAGCTGCTTCCTCAGTTCGTCCAGTTCGGGCTGGGCCAGTCGGAACTGTCGCTGTACAGTTGGCTGTGCCCCCGGTTCTAACTCTATCCTGTGGTCGTGCGGTCGCTGAGGTGGCAGTCCCGTCGGTAAATGTCGCTGTACTGCTTCAACAGTGCTGCCAGGTCACTCGGTACGTCGGCCAGTAGTTTTTGTAAATCCCCTCCTTTGTCTACTGCCTCGACTTCCCGAATGTCGACCGCGTACACGTCAGCTCCTGCCGCTCCTGCGCGTTTCATCGTGATCGCGTTGACACGCACCGACGAAGACTCAGGCGAGCCCCAGCGAGGTAAGGCGATGTTGTTACCGTTCACTCGCACGGTGCAGTCACCCGTCGTCCAGTCGATTCGCGGATTGTGTCGTCGCAACCAATCACGCCCGAGTAGAATATCGGTTTCGTCGAGGGTCGTTGCGAGCATTTCCTGGCTAAATGTGAAGTTACCCCCGCATCGAATCCGAACCCGGTCTACGCGTTCCCGTATTGCCAGCGGCGTGCCGTCTACCAGTCTTGCATCGATCTCAGGTAAGCATTTGTCCAGTGGCAGTCGCAGTTTTCGTGCTGTGGCAGTGTTGATGAGGCTGTGGCTGGCTCCCCCGTCTACGAAGATTTTTACTAAGTCCATCCCGATTTTCCCACTAAGCAGCATGGGGCTGTCTACCGTAGTACCCTCCTTATTCGGCCGGGTGTGGTCGATTGCGTGAAGCGGCACAATCACTCGGTGAGGGTCGGTTGGGTCGGGCGAGCGGCGTGACCTGTCAGTAGAGGGCCCGTCTGCTACTGACTCCCAGCGTTTCCCTGCTGCTTAGTCTGTTTCTGCTGCTCAGCTTCCCCCTTTCCCTTAGCGTTTTCCGGGCATTCGTTCTTGCGATGTCCCGGCCGATTGCACGCAAAGCAGCGCCCTTTGAATGGTGCGGCAGCGGCATTTGCAGCGACGGCACGTATCGTGGTGTTCTCGTTCGTCCCACGAGGCCGATGTCCCCAATGGCTGCTTCCGTAGGACCCCGGTCTCGGTCGGCGGTAGAAGTCAAGTTTCTCCGCCATAGCGAGAATCTCTTGAAAATCGATTACGCCGCGAAGCTGGATTTCCTGAGCGATGTCCTGCTTCAGGCCGCCGATGTAGCGGTCGATGCGCTCGCTCTCGTGCATGTATCCCACATGCTCGCATAGCGCCAGAAACCCGCTCGTATAATCCTGGACGGAGCCGAGTTGGCGCCAAGTGCGGAGCCTCTGTCGCGCCGCGATCGAAGCCGCGTTTGGCTCGAAACGAGCGCGCAGACCTGCACACCACGCGTCCCACGTGCGATACTGGGGCACCTCCACGAAATACGACGGCGCCCAGGGTCCGGTTTGTCCTTCCCGTGTCGGTAGAGTCGCGTAGTCCACCGGCTTCGTGACGATGACGCGCCACCAGTCCATGGCGGGTCCTCGCAGCAACGACACGGCGTAGCGAATCTTCGCCGTATCCTTCGAGACGTAGTTCGCGTCGAAGAAGACATTCAACGTGAAGAGCCACGCCTGAACGGTAGGACCACCCCGCTGACTTGGGTCAAAGCATGGCGGAAGCTGCGGCTTTGACGGCATCGGCGACGGAAGAGTTGATCCGCCTGCCGTCACCGAAATCGTAACTTGAGGCTGCGTTCTGGCCGCATTCGTCGCGTCGGGGTGTGTCGTGCCGTGGTCGTCGTCTCCATCATGGCAGACGACGCCATCACTTGCGGCGCTCGCGGGTTGCCCCACACTCCCGTGCTGTGATGCTTGTGGTGCGGGCTGAATCGGAGTGCCAGGTGCTTGGGATTGTGCTCGTACGAGGTCGTTTTGCAGGGACGAGCGTTCTGCCGTCAGCGTCGCAATTTTCCTCGGCGCTCTCGCGGATTTGTCGCAGCAGATCGTTCAAGTGCTCCTGCGTGAGAGTCGTGGCATCGATGTGTTCAGCCATTTCGAAGGGCGTCGGCTCGTCTTAGTCTAGGCGCAGTCGTGGCTGCACGCGTTTACGAGAGAACGCGAGGACAGCGGCTCGTAGGTGCTAAGGTACGTGAGTCCCTTCGAGTGAAAAATCAAAAGTGGATTTCCTGGGATGCGGAGATGTGCGGTCCGAAAGAAAAGGGCTCTGATAACCAAGTGTTACGGGTGCAATGAATCGAGGTAGCGATGCACTGAGGTGTCAAACGAGTACAAAGATGTGAGCGAAGGCATGAGCGAACATTTATATGCGAAACATGCAAACGGTAACGCGGTGCGTGCGAGCTAGCTAGTGCTATGCTGGCAGCGAGGCTCGGGCTAGTCCCGAAGCGTAGGCCGACACGGCAGGGCCAGCAGTGCGAGGTTTGGCAAAACAGTGCGCGCGAAGTTGGCGAAGTCCCGTTAGCAGTAACGGGCGAACAGAGGTTGTTGCCGTACGCGATGTAGTCGGGCTCCGTAAGGAATGCCAATAAAATTCCTTACAACAAGATAATATTTTATTGTCAAAACAAGTGTTGTAATTACGGTACCAATAAGTGCATAGCATCTTCAAAGACTCACCACACATAAGGATGACAGGTTAAGAGCAAAAACTATGCTGCTGGCTCAGTTAGAATTGAAATAAGCGGATGGATGGCTATACATTATAAGCAGCCGAAACTGCCAAAACCAGGGTTAAAGAAGGTGTGAGGCAAAGCGCTCGGGATTTCCATGCCAGTGGTGGGATCTGCTGACAAACGGAGACTAAAAAATCAGCAATTTGATGTTAACCAGGGTACATGGGGTTTTTCCCTCCTTTGATTCGCCGAGCCAGTTGGATATCTCGAATCACTGGCGCCACAAAATGTGGGGTGGGGGAGGAGAGAGGGAGGGAGGAAGGGAGGAGGAGGTGGGGACGGGGGTGGCAGAATGCACAAGGGCTTATAAGCAGTGAAGAAAATGTATGATGCTATACAAGCTATCTTTCACAGTGCAGTGGGCATCAGCCAGTTGGATGTCTCGAATCACCGGCACCACAGATGTGGGGTGGGGAAGGGAGGGGAGGAGGTGGGGGGGGGAGAGGGGGGAAGGTGGATGAGATTGGGAAAGGGGGGGCAGGGTGTGCGAGGGATCACAAGCAGTGAAGAAACTATCTTTCACAGTGCAATGGGCATCGGCCAGTTGGATGTCTCGAATCACTAGCACCACAGATGTGGGGTGGGGGAGGAGAGAGGGAGGGAGGGAGGAGGACGGGAGGAGGGGGGATGCGGGAGGGGGAGAAAGTGGGGGGCGAGAAGGGGAGGGAGGGAGGAGGGCGAGAGGAGGGAGGAGTGGGAGGAGAGGGGGGGAAGGGGTTATAAGCAGTGAAGTGTAAGCTGTTACACAAAATATCTGTATTAGTGGTCATGAACCAGTGTTATCTCTTGAATCCCACCAAAGTTGGGGCGGGGGGAGGAGGAGGGGGGGGGGGGGGGGTGAGGAAGTTGGGGCGTGACACAAAGCACGAGGGCTTACAAGCCGTGAAGACGGTGTTTGAGGCGCCTCAAAAGGTGAGGAAGTTGGGGCATGACACAAAGCAAGAGGGCTTTTGAGGCGCCTCAAAAGGTGAGGAAGTTGGGGCATGACACAAAGCAAGTGGGCTTTTGAGGCGCCTCAAAAGGCGTGACACAAAGCACGAGGGCTTACAAGCCGTGAAGACGGTGTTTGAGGCGCCTCAAAAGGTGAGGAAGTTGGGGCATGACACAAAGCAAGAGGGCTTTTGAGGCGCCTCAAAAGGCGTGACACAAAGCATGAGGGCTTACAAGCCGTGAAAGACGGTGTATGGTGTTTCACGAAAACAACCCTTGCCTGGTAGTGAGAAACGACTTTTGAGGCACCTCAAAAGAAGAGGGCTTACAAGCCGTGAAGACAGTGTATGGCGTTTCAAATAAAATAAATAAAAAAAACCCTTCCCTGGTAGTGAGCAACGAAAATGCTTACTTAAAGTAACTCTTTTGGAGTGAATGGCGAGCAGAATTCCGTCTTCGAACAAGCTCACCAGGTAGGCCTCTGCTGCCTGATTTGGGGGGGACGGGGGGGCAAGGGGGGATGCATAAAGCTGTTAGAGTGTATGGCGAGCAGAATGCCGTCCTCAAACAAGCTCACCTGGTAGGCCTCTGCTGCCTGATTTGGGGGGGACGGGGGGGCAAGGGGGGGTGCATGAAGCTGTTAGAGTGTATGGCGAGCAGAATGCCGTCCTTAAACAAGCTCACCAGGTACGCCTCTGCTGCCTGATTTGGGGGGGACGGGGGGGCAAGGGGGGGTGCATGAAGCTGTTAGAGTGTATGGCGAGCAGAATGCCGTCCTTAAACAAGCTCACCAGGTACGCCTCTGCTGCCTGATTTGGGGGGGACGGGGGGGCAAGGGGGGGTGCATGAAGCTGTTAGAGTGTATGGCGAGCAGAATGCCGTCCTCAAACAAGCTCACGAGATAAGCCTCTGCTGCCTGATGGGGGGGAGAGGGGGGGAGGCAGGGGGCGGGGAGTGTGTGAACACGCTAGTGACTAGTTTCGAGTGTATGGCGAGCAGAATGCCGTCCTCAAACAAGCTCACCAGTTAGGCCTCCGCTGCCTGATGGGAGAGGAGCAAGGGGGGGTAAAACCGGGTGCTCGGGGGAAGGGCAGAAATGGGGGCACGTGGGATAGGAGCAAGGGGGGGGGGGGGGGGGGAGGGTAAAAACGGGTGCCTTTTGAGTCGACTCAAAAGTCACCTCGGGGTCGAAGGCGGTCAAGGTTCATCGTAGCTGCAAACCTGTAGAAATCATTTAAGCAAAAAGGATCAAGACTGTAAAAGATTGCTCCCAGAAATTCAAGTGGGGGGGTATAAACGGGTGGTCGGGGTCGAAGGGGGATGTGCAGAAATGGTAGACGGACGGTGGAGGGGGGAGTAGGGCAAGAGGGTGGGAAACGGGGATTGTACAAAACTCCGCCTTCAAACAAGCTCACAAGGTAGACCTCTGCGGCCTGATAAGGGGGAAGAGCAAGGGGGTGTGTATAGTAGAGGGTGGGTGGCTGAGGTAGTGGGAAAGAGAGGTGTGGTGGGTGGGGGGTGGGACTGCTTTTGAGTCGACTCAAAAGCGGAGGTGGGGGGCTGGGGTAGCGGGGAAGAGGGGGTGGGGGGCTGGGGTAGCGGGGAAGAGGGGGTGGGGGGCAGGGAATGTATCAAGGATCCTGTGTGGTGAGCGTTTGACAGATCCCTGATAGCTTTTGTTCGCCCACAACCACCGCACTCACTACCCCCGCACTCCCTGCCACCGCACCCCCTACCACCGCACTCTCTACCACCGCACTCTCTTCCACCGCACTCCCTACCACTCCACACCTCCGCACACCCTATTATCGACGAACACACCACTTGCAGCCCAAGAATGGCGTCAGCGGTCCATCGCACGTCCATCGTGGTGAGCGTCTGAGCGATCCCTAATAGCCCTTGATCACCCCACTCCATACCACCGCACTCCCTTCCACCGCACTCCACGCCATCACACTCCCTACCACCGCTTCCCACCTCTTGCAGCCCAAGAACGGCGTCAGCGGTCCATCGCACGTCCATCGTGGTGAGCGTGTGAGAGATCTCCTTGCACTGATGGCAACACGGGGAAGGAGAGGGAGAGGGAGAGAGGGAGAGAGGGAGAGAGGGAGAGGGAGAGGGAGAGAGGGAGAGAGGGAGAGGGAGAGAGGGAGAGGGAGAGAGGGGGAGGGGAAAGGGGGGAAACGGGCAGCGAGGTCAGCAGTCCATCGCACGTCCATCGAGGTGAACGTATGAGAGATCTCCTTGCAGTGACGGCAACAGGTGGGAGGGGAGAAGGGAGGAGAAGGGTGGTGTGGTGTTTGGGGGGAGCTAAGGGGAGAAAAAGCAGCGGGTGGGCATTCCATCGCACATCCATCGTGGTGAGCGTCTGAGAGGTCTCCTTGCAGTGACGGCAACAGGTGGGAGGGGAGCTAAGGGGAGAAAATGCAACAAGTGGGCAGTCCATCGCACGTCCATCGTGGTGAGCGTGTGAGATATCTCCTTGCACTGATGGCAACAAGGGGAGGGAGAGAGGGAGAGGGAGAGAGGGAGAGGGAGAGGGAGAGAGGGAGAGGGGAAGGGGGGGAAACGGGCAGCGGGGTCAGCGGTCCATCGCACATCCTTTGTGGTGAGCGTCTGGGCTATCCTTGCACTGGTGACGGTGGGGAGAAGAGGGGGCACGGGGGAAAGAAGGAGAAAGGCACGCAGGAAGGGCGAAAGGTTGAGGGAGAGTGGGTGAAGGGGCAGTGGGGTTGGCAGTCCAGCTCACATCCCGAAGGGGCACTGGTGCGGATTTGAGCAGACCCCTTGCACTAGTGAGATCAAGGAGGGGGATGGGGGGGGCCAGCGACGGAAAGGGGGTGGAAGGAAGGTTGAGGGCAATCCGATACTGACAGGCATGAAACAAATGCATTATCGGTCAATAACTGATGTGATATTACAGATATTAATTGAAAACAGGCCCAGTAGCACAACTCAACCAACCTATCAGATTGATCCGCGGGCTCAAACCCCGCCTGGTCCTTTTCCACTGTCGAATACACGAGTTCAATTTTCTGGTGTGTCCATTCAGAAGATATAAAAAGATAATTAAGAATGTTTATTTTTTGTTTTACTGACCACAGCTGTGTTCTAAATGAGATGACTGGCATTGCGAGGGAAAGGGGAAGGAGAGAGGTGAGGGAGGTGGGTGGGGGAGAGGGGAATGGGAGGCAGCACAGAAACAGTACCAGAAGGGAAGGGCAGCTTTGGACAATCTTCCTTGCACGAGTTTAGAGATTTATTTCAAATCGACTCAAAATTTTATTTCCTGCATAGGTTTGGGAATGAATCTCAAGTCGACTCAATACTAGCCGCCTTGCACGGGTTTGGAAATACTGAAACTTACAAGTCGCATGAACGGCAGCTTGCGAATGAGAAGGTCCGTGGTTTTCTGGTACCTCCTTGCATGGGCTGGGAGATGATGATTGATGAAACTCACGAGTCGCATACACAAAACTTACAAGTCGCATGAACGGCAGCTTGCGAATGAGAAGGTCCGTGGTCTTCTGGAACCTCCTAATCTCCATTAGTGCCACAGTTCCCGGCCGGTAGCGGTGCGGCTTGCGCTTGATGCCTGGTGGAGCAAGGTAAGACGAACGCAATAGATGGAAATGGAAAGGAAGGGGAGGCGGGTGAGGGAGAGGGGGTGAGGGGGTGAGGAGGTACGTGGCCTTCTGGTACCTCCTAATCTCCATTAGTGCAAGAAGGAGTGTTTTGAGACGTATCCAAGTCACCATCAAAACACTCCTTCTTTCACGAGGTACGTGGCCTTCTGGTACCTCCTAATCTCCATTAGTGCCACTGTGCCCGGCCGGTAGCGGTGCGGCTTGCGCCTGATGCCTGGCGGAGAAAGGTAGGACGAACGGCGCAAACAGCCAATAGAGGGGACGGTGAGACGACTCAGAACGAAGGGGGCGCCCTCCGTGCAGGACAAGTTGTGAGGCGCCATTAATAGCGAGGAAAACGCCTCGACCCTGCATCCACGATGACTTTTGAGGCGCCTCAAAAGACGCCTCGACCCTGCATCCACGATGAAACGGACGGCGTAACGAAGGGGAATCCGAGGGGGGAAGCGGCGGAAGCGGGGTGGGGAAAAGGGGGAAGGAAGGTGGAAGAGGAGGGGGGGGGGGGGGGGGGGTTGGAGGGGGGCGGCGAGGGGAAGGGCGATTGGAGGAGGGACAAGAACGAAGCATGCGGAACGGAAATTAAAGCGAGAGACTCAAGTCTGACCACTAGCGTGCTTCACGGCTGTCAACTTGAAAGAAAAAAGTGTTGTGGGGCGCCGCAAATCAGACTTGCTTTCAGTGGCGCATTTACCACTGTCGTTTTGACATGACTAGGCTAGCATCATGGCTGCTAGCCCAACCTTGAGCTATTCGAGGTGACTTTCGAGTCGCCTCAGAACATACTTAGTTTTAATGGCGCATTTGCCACTGTCGTTCTGACATGACCTTCAGGCATGTATGAATCGACTCATAAACCATCTCCTGCTAGCCCAACCTTCAAACCTTTTTTATTCGACTTGTACACCATCTCCTCCAATTCCAACTTCTGGCTTTTCGGAAATCGTGAAAAGAAACTACGGTTTAGTAATAGGCGTTACATCGAAAAATACACCCACACGGTAATCACCTCCGGGCGGGACCTCACACTCTGTTCCGCCCGGAGCGCCTTGAATATTTCAGAACCACGGGCCGCGCTCCGTGCAGGACAACTTGTGAGGCGCGTTAATAGACTCGCTTTCAAAACAGACTCACCTTCAATGGCGCATTTGCCACTGTCTTTCTGACAGGACTAGGCTAGCATCATGGCTGCTAGCCCAACTTTCGAGCTTTTTTTATCGACTTATACATCATCTCCTGCTAGCCCAACCTTCAACAATTAGAGAAATGGGGAGAACAATTCAGGCAAACCGCGAGGCGCTTACCTTCGGGTGCTCTGGCTGTTTTTTTTGGAGTGCCTTTAGTGGCTTTCGCCGGCGTCGACGTCGCCTCTGCCGCCGCCGCCTCCGCCGCCGCCGCCGCCGCTGCGGCGGTTGCCTTGCTCCGCTTGGGCATGCGCTGCTTCGACCTCGCCATGCTTAGAACGAATCAGAACTGTACGATGGAAAAACTGGCGTAGAAACTCTCTTGCTACGTAAGGGGCACACAACTTCCAACACAGTTTTTTCCAGACGAGCCTTGAGGGACCAACGCTTGATTGAGGATCAACCCTAAGATCTTCCTATGAAAGTTCTAGTTAACTCGGGATTACTAAACTTCCTCTGTCGGGATCAAGTCTATGAAGCACCGGCTTTTCTTTTGCTACGAAAACACCGGGTGGGTCAATTCTTCCTGTAGGTCCTCGATTGAAATTAAAAAGCAGGCTAAATAACCGAGTGGTCAGATGGGGATTGGTCCAGTATATCAAGCAGAAGTGACTAAGGAGTGACAAGGAAAAGCGACCAGGCAGTAAGGAGTTGGAGAGAAAAGGGCTTCCGCAAGGAGGTGAGGACGTATGAAAATTAGCAGTCACTGTGAAGAATGAAGAAGTCGAGGTGCATGCAGGCATCCAAATTGGCAGCGGCATTGTGAAGGTCCGCGCCCGAGCAGACTAATTTGCGGTTTGGAACCATCCTTTACGGTTTTAAAACGTTTCAGAAACATTCAAAGCGGTTGAGAAGGCTTTGCGCTTACCTCACGAAAGAGTGCAGGAAGAATCCAAGGTCTGTAACATTGGAAGCACGTGCAACTGCGAGCGCGAATAGCGCGTCGTTCGAGATGAAGACGCGTGGCAATGAGTTGACCAATCCGTAACTTTTGCGCACTTCGTAATAAGAAGTCAGCTACGTGCTTCGGAATGGTCTCTTGCTCCGCCAGAGACCTTATCGAAAGGCCCGTTATTACAGGAGGGTGAAAATTATGTACAGAAGAAGCTGGTACATGCGAAGTGCTTTATAATCATGACATAAACACCAATGGTACTTAGAATGATTCTTTGAGTACACGTGAGATAATAGGAACATGTTTTGGAAAGATGAAGGAATTCTGCCAATGAATATCGGGGGAGTGAGTGAGACAACATACAATTACCAACTATTCTGGAGAAAGCACTCATACTGGAAACGGGGATGAAATATTTTCTATACATTCTTAGATAGTGCATCAGCTTCAGCAGCTGCAGATTCCACAGCAGCCTCTGCAGCCTCAGCTGAGCTGGCCAGCCCATGGGCTTTGAGAAGCTGAGTAAATGACTCCACTTGAGCGGCATCAATCTTATATGGAGAATAGCGCGCGGACGGGAATGCGCGAGAGGTTACATCCTCTCTAAAAGTGTTCAGCGCCTGTTGAATTGCCTCGCCCACTTGGCCGAATGCCTTGCAGAACTTCGGGGTTACCTGCTCAGAAATCAGGACACAATATAACCATCTTACGATGAAATAGCGAGGGTCATATTTAAGAACACTTTGATGCCCTGGGCAGGCATGGGTTGAGCTGGATACAAGCACAACTCATTTTGACACGCAAGCATGATGGAAACTTGAACACTCTGACGCCAGCCTTGGCGGAACAGCAGAGGATATCATCAGCACAAAGGTTTGACACTCAGAAAGATATGGGTGTCCGAACATATACCTTGGCATGGTGAGGGTGTTGAATCATCCCGAGAAGGTCATGGTATACTAGCACCTGGATGAGAGGCAGTCATGGGTGTGTGTGGGGATGGAGAAGGAGGAGGCTGAGGATTCTAATATACAAGCAATCTGCTGGAACCAGAGAAAGCCATGGGAGAGGCAGGTGTAGGAGAGGCAGGTGTGGGAGAGGCAGGTGTGGGAGAGGCAGGTGTGGGAGAGGCAGGTGTGGGAGTGGCAGGTGTGGGAGAGGCAGGCATGGGTAAGGTAGACACGGGATTTGGTGATGATGTGGGGCGAGTATTAACGCATTTCTTGAGAAGTATAGAAATGCGCGTACAACACAAGGGATGTCGACAGCAGCTGCGCTGGCAGCACAACATGCTCTGCTCGACATCAGGCGAGGGAAACAAACCAGTGCACTCAGCAAGATGGTACTGAGTGGAACCTAGTTTTGAGGCGCCTCAGAATCAGCAAGATGGTACTGAATGGAACCTAGTTTTGAGGCGCCTCAGAATCAGCAAGATGGTACTGAATGGAACTTAGTTTTGAGGCGCCTCAGAATCAGCAAGATGGTACTGAATGGAACCTAGTTTTGAGGCGCCTCAGAATCAGCAAGATGGTACTGAGCCGAATTAGCGAACAACCATACCCCAGCGGGAACATGACCAGCTGCTGTCTGATAAGACAGTCCATCGAAGCCTGTGGTGGTGAATGCAACAATAGCTGTCACTGCTGTTGCCACCATTGCTAGCATGCACTCTAAAGCAGGAAGGCCATTAATGAGCTCAGAAAGATGCAGTGTATGTTTATTGAGAATTCTAAAAAAATATACACTACCACCACTGCTGGCATGCACTCCAAAGCAGACACGCCATTAATGAGATCAGAAAGATGCCATCTCACTTCCTCACCCGTTTCCACACCCCCTCATCCCTACCCCATCCTCACCTGTCCGCTGCAAAGAGGGCCAGCACCGATGCCGATAGTGGGAATGTCGACAGCAGCTGTGACTGCTGCTCCCACCACTGCTGGCATGCACTCAAGAACCACCGCGAAGCACCCAGCTTCTTGCAGGGCCTGTGCATGTTGCACGACCTGAGGGAGAGAGGGAGTGGGAGGAAGTTGAGGGAGGGTGGTTATGTGAGAACACTGCCTAGCACACATTATTCCGACACCACAACAAAGCACCCAGCTTCTTGCAAGGCCTGTGCGTGCTGCCCCAGTTCCCACCTCCCCCAGTTGCCACCTCCCCCATGTCCCACCTCCCCCAGGTCCGACCTTGAGAGCGAGGGGAACAGACCTGCACTAGGATGGTACTTTCCCTCAGACTGCTGCCCCAGGAACCATCCGTGCAGTTCCCACTCTCCACTAGGTCCCAACATCCTCACATCCCACCTCCCCCAGGTGCCACCTACTCACCTTGAGGGCACTAGCAGCGGATCTGCCCTGGGGGCGAAAGCCTCCCAGCGAGCTGATAGCCTGTGGAGTGAGCCCCACGTGGCCCATCACAGCTATACCCACCTCAGATACCGCCCAGCCCCAGTTACCACCTCCCCCAGGTCTTACCTTGAGCGCACTGGCAGCGGATCTACCCTGGGGGCGAAAGCCTCCCAGTGAGCTGATGGCCTGTGGAGTGAGCCCCACATGCCCCATCACAGCTATACCCGCCTCAGATACCGCCCGCGCTGCTGCTGTTGCTGCTGCTGCTGCTGCCCAAATCACACCTCCCCCAGGTCTTACCTACCTTGAGAGCACTGGCAGCGGATCTACCCTGGGGGCGGAAGCCTCCCAGGGAGCTGATGGCCTGTGGAGTGAGCCCCACGTGGCCCATCACAGCTATACTCGCCTCAGATACCGCCCAGCCCCAGTTACCACCTCCCCCAGGTCTTACCTTGAGCGCACTGGCAGCGGATCTGCCCTGGGGGCGAAAGCCTCCCAGTGAGCTGATGGCCTGTGGAGTGAGCCCCACATGCCCCATCACAGCTATACCCGCCTCAGATACCGCCCGCGCTGCTGCCACCCGCGCTGGTATGCCCCCCTCTATCTTAACCGCGTCCATGTTGCCTTCTTTCAACAGCCGCACTGCACTGTTCACTGCCTGAGGGATGGACAAGGGAAGAATGGGAAGGGCACAAGAGGAAAGAAATCGCAGAAGCATGGTGCATCAGCTGCTGCCACCCGCACTGGAATGCCCCCCTTGATCTTCACCGCGTCCATGTTGCCTTCTTTCAGCAGCCTCAATGCACTGTTTACTGCCTGACATAGCAGGGAGAGGAGGGGGGCGAGAGGGGATAGACTGAATTCCCCCCTCTATCTTGACTGCGTCCATGTTGCCTTCCTTCAGCAGCCGCACTGCACTATTGACTGCCTGAGGGATGGACAAGGGAAGAATGGGAAGGGCACAAGAGGAAAGAAATCGCAGAAACATGGTGCATCAGCTGCTGCCACCCGCGCTGGAATGCCCCCCTCTATCTTAACCGCGTCCATGTTGCCTTCTTTCAGCAGTCTCACTGCACTGTTCACTGCCTGAGATATCAGAGAGAGAGGGGGCGAGAGGAGATAGACTGAATCCCCTCTCTATCTTCTCCACGTCCATGTTTCCCTCCTTGAGCAATCTCACCGCACTCTCCTCTGCCTGAGAGTGCACCAAGGTGGGGGGGTGAGGAAAAGAGAGATAGACTGAATGCCCCCCTCTATTTTCACTGCCCCAGCTGCTGCCACTCGGGCTGGAATGCCCTCTTTGAGCAATCACACTGCACTCTCAACTGCCTGAAGGATTGGGCCGATAGCGGGCTCACGAGAGGAAAGGAAAAGCGTGACACACTGCCTCAGCTGCTGCCACTCGGGCTGGAATGCCCCCCTCTATCTTCACCGCGTCCATGTTGCCCTCTTTTAACAACCGCACTGCACTCTCCACCGCCTGTTAGTGCACCAGGGTGGAGAACTGCATGCCACCCTCTATCTTCACTGCTTCATGTTGCCCTCCTTCACCAGCCGCACTGCTTTGTATACCGCCCGTGAGTGCACCAGGGGTGGGAGGGGGGGAGAAGAGATGAATTGCATGCTCGCCTATAACTGCGTCTGTTCAATGTGGCAGCTTCCCTCTTTCAACAACCACATTGCACTCTCCACTATCTTCAATCGCTACCATCTCTGCTCTTCTGCTGCCATCTCTGCTCTTCTGCTGCCATCTCTGCTCTTCTGCTGCCATCTCTGCTCTTCTGCTGCCATCTCTTCTCACCTCTTGTGATCTCCTCTCATCTGCTGCAATTTCTGTTCACCTGCTCCCATCGCTCTTTAGCCTGCTCTGATCTCTGAAACATGCTCACCTGCTGTGGGCTCTGCTCGTATGTGCCAAAGGGAAGGTCACCAACAAGCAACGGCCGAGAGGCTCCCCGTGCCACCGCCCTGTGGGGGAGTGACCAAGATACCAACGAGAGGTAGGGAGAGAGGGTGGATGGGGAGGGAGTTGGTCACTCAAGTTTCAACATGATCACACCCATTACAGTCACGCATGCATATATTCATCTGCATTATGATTACCTGCAGTGCGGCAGCATGTCTTCCAGTGTGGTGGGCAGAGTGGTGTCTCATATCCATGCACCACCATGGCTGCACGCATTACTCAACTGTCAATACAATCACACTCGTTACAGTCACACAGGCATGAAATCACATGCAGTATAATCACCTGCAGTGCAGCAGCATGTCTTCCAACGTGATGGGCAGAGTGGTGTCATACCCATGCACCACCATGGCTGCTGAATCGCCCACCAGGCAGATGTCTATGTCCGCCTGGGGGGGTGAATGGGCGGAAGGAAAGAGGGGGAGAAGAAGTAGTGGGGAAAGGAGCTGGGGACGAAACAACGCGCAGCCATGGCTGCAGGGAGGGAAGACGGGGGTTTCACACCACCATGGCTGCTGAGTCGCCCACCAGGCAGGTGTCTCTGTCCGCTTGTGCAAAGAAGCGTGAAGGGGCTTGGAGAGCGGGAGGAGAAGCCTGAGAAAAGAGGCGCAGGAGGAGCAGCTGACTCAGGAAAGAAAGAGGACCACCATGGCTGCTGAATCAGCCACCAGGCAGATGTCTATCTCCGTCTGATATAGGCTTTAAGGGACATGGGGGAAGGGGGAGGGGGGAGGAAGAAAGGGGGAGGGGGGAGGAAGAAAGGGGGAGGGGGGCCGGGGAGCAGGATGAGTAAAGAACGTGGGAGGGCAATAAACCCTGAACCTAGAAAGAAGGAGGAGCACCATGGGTGCTGAGTCCACCAGGCAGATGTCTATGTCCGCCTGAGGTTTAAGGGACATGGGGGAAGGTTGAGCAGGAGTAAAGAGACGTGGCAGCAGCAGATGATTCAGGAAGAAAGACTGGAGATACTATATGTCCACCTGGAAATGGTTGGTAAGATGGGGGAGGGGAGGAAGGGGGGTTGGGGGTGGGTGCAAATGCGGATGGAGGAAAGGTGGTGGGTATCAGAGGGAGGCTAGGAATGAAGGTGCACCACCACCATCGCTGCTGACACCAAGCACATGCATATCCCCACATGCCCACACATCACCATGACTTCATGCCCACCCCACCCACCACTCACCATGTCCACATGCACGGCGGAGGGGTAGTCATAGGCCGTGACCATGACGATCGGCTCGCCCCGCCGGTACTTGCTCCCCACCTGCTGCAGCGTCACCCGCTGCCGCCCCGCCTCCGGTTTCGGCCCGCCATACACCGTGCTGTCTGGAAGGTTGGAGAAAGGCCGACAAAGGGATGGCGCTCTGCCATAGAATGTGGTGTCTGAGTGGTTGGTGAGTGATCGATGAAGGGAGGATGGATGGAGGAGCGTTCTGCTACACGCAGTGCTCTGTGGGAGGCTGGAGGAGTATCGGCAGAGGAAGCTTCGCCCGGGGCTGATGAGGTGAGAGGACTGGTGTTGAGTGAGCGAGGGAGGCGGATGGGAGGAGGATGAGGAGGGGCAGGGTGGCAAGGGGTAGGAGCAGGGAGACGATGCTGGCCGCGCGGATGGCGTGATGGTGGAAGCAAGATGAGGAGAGGAGGACGAAGCAGTGGGAGTGGGGGAGTGGATGTCATGGTAGATGGAGGAGAGGGAGCGGGGTAAGACACGCGGGAGCTGCAGTGGGTAAGGGAGAAAAAGGATGAAAGAAGGGAGTAGGAGAGGGGAAAGTAGCTTGTGACGGATTGGCACAAGGGAGGTGCGATGTCTGCGAAAAAGCGACGAATCCCCATCAGAAAAGGAACTTGAAGGTGACTGTTATAGCTCGCAGACAAATCTGAGCGATGCGAATAGGCTCAATGACCACTGGGAGAAAGACGAGCGTCCATGAAACCAGCAGAAATAAAATACACTCACGGATGGGATCGAAATTCACACCATAGAACGACTCGTTCGGAATAAGTACGTTTTTGGTGAACCAGCACGCACCAGTGCTGACAACACGGCTGGGAAATGACTGGATGGCGTCAGCTGCTGTAGTTGCTGCGAGCGCAACGCCATGACGATAAATGTACCGAACGACCTTTGAGTCGACACGGTCAGGAGACAACGGACAAATGCAAGCGGTGAGAGTTTCGGTCGATTCCGACCGATGAATCAAAAGACGAATTTTAAGAGAGCCCCGGAGTTCCGTTAGCTCGACCAGGAGACGGCGGGCTCGTAATGCAAACGGTGACGGATACGGTCGATTTGAACCGACGATTTTATAGGGAAGCTGCTTAGGAATTTGCGGAAAATGGGCCGCACTTAGTCCGCAGTCGCTAGTGGTAGTCAGATTTCCGTTTCCAGCATCGTCCAGGCGTCCCAGAGTGGCTTAGCGTCCCGCGGCAACACGCATTCGCGAAACGGGAAAATGCTCGTGGAGCTTTGTGACGCTAATCCAAGCAGTCTGTACCTCGAGAAAGCCGCGACATCGAGTTCTGCTGGGTTCTTGATTCTTTCTAGGAGTCTGGAAATCTGGAAATCTCTCCTGCTCTGGCTTCCCCCACGGTAATTCCAGGGAAATTTTTTGTGCTGTATCCAGAGGGACAAATGAACTGTCGCCAACAGAACAATCGAGCCGAGATCACGAAATTCAGGTTACCAGCTCCTTTTCCAAAGTAGTATGCGAAACGAAATCGGCGTGAACTCCGTTGATCAACCGAAGCACGATGGCTTCGCGAAAGAGCCGTTGCAGATTGCGAATGGCAGCGTCTCCCCTCCCTCGCAATTTTCTGAGCTTTCCTTGGTTCTACCAGTCATGTCACTAGAAAATTAGAGTTTCAGGTGCTCGTCGCTCTTTGCTCCTCACTCCCCGCTCTTCATTCTTCGTTCCTGACTCCGGCTTCGTTCCTCTTGAAGTCTATTCTACTAGCACGTTGACAATTCCTGGTCTGCGTTGTACCTCGCTTCGGATGTAGGCTCATAAGACACCAAGCCCGACGGAGTTTGTGCATAGGCAATCACTAGAAGGCGCGAACCGTGGTTCACATAAGCAACGGTGTATTGCCGAAAATGGCGGAGCGGGCTCTAACGCAAAGAATAGCCAGCACCGTTGGCGGCTTGATAGGCAACGAGAAGAGATTGCAAGCCGTAAGTAATCTCGTTTCACGGTCTAGGTCGCGACGTCGCTACCTCCTGCAGTCTCAGCCGCTGACGCCTCACATGGCTGGTGTTCCAATCCTCGATATATTTCAAGAAGTGAATCAGGCTTGATGTAGGCGAATCTCAGCCGTTAAAGCCTCCAATGTCTGTCGTCTTGTCGCCTTCAACAAATTCCATTCGTTCAGCTCATATCCGTCATCATTTTTCGTCATCCAAAGCTTTTGTCGTTGGTCGTTTGATGTTGTCGGCTTCAAGAACTTCCACTTCTGCAATGTCCGTTGCGCTTTCCCTCATCCGATTTTCAGCCTGTAGAATCTGGATGACGAAAAGCGATGATCGATTCTTCTAGTTGATCTGATGCACATCCTGAGGCACATCCATCGCATAATGTGCCCTTTCCCCTCCCTCCATGCTCGCCGACTGCTAGCTGCTCCGTGCAGCTGAAGCTGATAGCAGAGGCGATACGCGTCCCCTTTTCCTTCACTCTGCCCTCCCCCTCTCTCCGTCTGTCCATCCTTGTACCCTCATCCCTCCCAACTGATCACTCCACAGGAGATAGAGAGCAGCTCCGTTCAACTGAAGCTGCTAGCTGAGGCGATGGCGAAAGAGGGCAAGATGGAAAGGGTGAGAGGATAATCAGTTAAAGCATGAGAAGAGAAGGGAGGAACGGGGGAGGGGAAAGGGGGGTGGGGTTTTGAGCTGTAGAAATCAATTGGAGGTGGTAGTGGGGAGAAGAGCACATGGGGTGGACTTGGGAAAGATCAATGCGGGTGGTGGGATGTGTTGCTTGGCTCTTCTGTCCGCCTTCCTCTACCTCTCCTCCGTCTGCATTACACCCTTGGCTGTTTCATTCATACCCTCGTTTATGTTGCACCCTTGTCATTTTCACACCCTCGTTACTGTCACACCTGCAGGTGGCGGAGCTAGAGGCAATGACTCACAAGGTGGTGGAGACGGTTCATGAGATGGCTGAGAAAGAGACAGCTACCATACACTCTCGTTTGTGTCACATCCCTGTTTGTGTGACATCCCCGTTTGTGTCACACCCTCTTTTGTGTCACACACAACCACAGGTCGCGGAACTAGAGCCAATGACTCGGAAGGTGGTGGAGACGGCTCATGATGCGGCCCAGTAAGAGACAACTATCAGTGCATTCTCATTTGTGTCACACTCACGTTTGTGTCACGCCTTCCTTATTGTCACACCCACAGGTGGCGGAGCTGGAGGCAATAACTCGCAAGGTGGTGGAGACGGCTCATGAGATGTCTGAGAAAGAGATAGATAGCTACCATACACTCTCGTTTGTGTCACTCCCCTGTTTGTGTGACATCCCTGTTTGTGTCACACCGTCTTTTTTGTCACACACAACCACAGGTGGCGGAGCTAGAGGCAATGACTCGCAAGGTGGTGGAGACGGCTCATGAGATGTCTCTGCATCAGCAGGCATTGGAGGCAGTGCGCGACAGCTATCAATACACTGGAACAGTAATGTACTCGTTATAAACATGCACTCGTTATCGACATGTACCACTTGTTGTTAGGTTGTGCTGCGTTAGAGAGTAACGGCTCATGAGATGTCGCTTCACCAGCAGGCTTTGGAGGCAGTGCGAGACAGCTATCAATACACTGGAACAGTAATCTACTCGTTATAGACGTGCACTCGTTGTAGACATATACCACTTTTTCTTAGGTTGTTGTGCTGCATTAGAGAGTAACGGCTCATGAGATGTCTCTGCACCAGCAGGCTCTGGAGACAGTGCACGACAACCATCATAACACTGGAACAGTAATGTACTCGTTATAGACGCGCACTCGTTATAGGCATGTACCAGTTTATGTTAGGGTGCATGAGAGAGTAACTGTTTATGAGATGCACTACACCAGCAGGCGCTCTAGGGAGTGTGAGACAGATACTCCCAGTATCAATATGTAGATTCGTTCGTTATCAGGCTGTGCGTTAAAGAGCAACGGCTCATGAGATGGGATGGCGCTGCATCGGCAGGTGCTGGCTGGAGGCAGTGCGGGACAGCTACCACCACTACAGTTTTGAGGCGCCTCAAAACTAGACCAGGTGTTGGCTGGAGGCAGTGCGGGACAGCTACCACCACTACAGTTTTGAGGCGCCTCAAAACTAGACCAGGTGCTGGCTGGAGGCAGTGCGGGACAGCTACCACCACTACAGTTTTGAGGCGCCTCAAAACTAGACCAGGTGCTGGCTGGAGGCAGTGCGGGACAGCTACCACCACTACAGTTTTGAGGCGCCTCAAAACTAGACCAGGTGCTGGCTGGAGGCAGTGCGGGACAGCTACCACCACTACAGTTTTGAGGCGCCTCAAAACTAGACCAGGTGCTGGCTGGAGGCAGTGTGGGACAGCTACCACCACTACACTGGAACATTATTGTACTTGTTCTTATAATCACATGTCCCTCTTGCTATTAGGTTGCATGCTCGTGAGATTTCCCTGCACCAGCAGGCACTGCACCACTAGTGTATCGATAACTGTTTCGAGTCCAACGGCTCATGAGAGTGACTTCTGGTCACACGAGCTGCAGCATGCCACGCAACCTGTTCTTCCTTTCCACCCCTCTCCACCCCTCCCCACCTGTCTCCACCGCTCCCCACCCCTCCCCACTGCTCCCCATCCCCCAGCCCACCAACTTTGAGGAACTCTTGCAGCAGCAGGTGGCAGAGATAGGGGCGGCTCAGCCGTTCCTTCCCACCCCTCCCCACCCCTCCCCATCCACAGCCCACCAACTTCGAGGAACTCCTGCAGCAGCAGGTGGCACAGCTAGGGGCGGTACAGCTGTGCCTCTGCACCCCTCTTCACCGCTCCCCACCTCTCACCACCCCTTCCCATCCTCCAGCCCACCAACTTTGAGGAGCTCTTGCAGCAGCAGGTGGCGCAGCTAGGGGCGGCTCAGCCGTGCCCGGAGGATCACCACATTCTGGTGGCGTTCCGACAAACCATCCGGGTGGGTTGTGAACGGTTCAGGGGTACATGGGTGTTGAATAGAGAGGGGAAATGACACGGGAGGTTCAGCCGTGCCCGGAGGACCACCAGATTTTGGTGACGTTCTGGCAAACCATCCGGGTGGGTTGGGAGTGGTATTGAGGGTTAAGTGGGTGTTGGATAGGGTGGCTCAGCCATGCCCGGAGGACCACCACATTCTGGTGGCGTTCCGGCAAACGATCTGGGTGGGTGAGAAGGGGACAGGATGTTGAGATCGTAAATGATGAATCATGGTGTCATGAAGTCATGGTATCATGAAGTCATGGTATCATGAAGTCATGGTATCATGAAGTCATGTTATCATGAAGTCATGGTATCATGAAGTCATGGTATCATGAAGTCATGGTATCATGAGCATGCCTGCTCCCTCCTCCCTGCTGCCAATTCCTCCTCATGCTTACTTCCCCTCGTCCCCTCATGCCAGAGTGCGAGGCAGGGGGGAGAAGGTGGGGGGGATGATGATGACGAGGACGATGAAGTCATGATGACAACCAATCTGATTGTGAAAAATACCAACTGCCCAATCACAATGCGCCATGTGGAAGAGCTGGATGACCCTGTCTGTTGGTGAGAAGAAATAAGCATTCCTTTCTTTTCTTAAGCTTCCACACTTGTAGATACCTTTTGCTGGCAAAAGAGTTTCTGTATGCGTGCTGGAGAGCATTTTGATTTTGATGGTAGTGGCTGTGCTCTCGGCTGCTGATAACTCTCTCTCTTGCCCCTTTTTCCCCCCTCCCTCCCGGAACCACATCACCTCCCCCTTTCTCCCCCACTCCCTCTCCCCCTCCACCCCCTCCTTTCCAAAGCACATACCCTCTCACCTCTAATTTCCGACCCAAACACCCAATCACTCTTTCCCCTCCCCCCCTTCGCTCTCCCCCCTCCCTGCTCTTCTCAGCTTGGATTGTCGCCACGTCTATGAGAAGAGCGCGATACTGGAAATCATATCCCAAAACAACAACTGCCCTGTCTCTGGTGAGTATTCCCCTCTGAAACTGGTTCTCTAAACCACTTGATTTATCAAAGCAGACGTGTTCAACTGTTATGGTTGCACGAGTCAAACAAACAGTTCTCTGGGTCGTAACTGTGCGTATGTCAACGACTCTTTCTGCCTTTCACCGGTTCATGCTTTCTCCACGATTTGTTTTACGTGTTTACAGGTTGCCTTCAGAGATTGCGTCGGGACCGCTTGGCGTGTGACACTGAATTGATGATGGCATTAAGGGAGCTACGTGCTCGGAAAGCCACCGCAACGGCAGCACCAGAAGAGATTGATGACCTTTAGTGACAATCTGTTCATTTGCTCAGCTCTAAACACCACTAGCACACAACTTTGGTATTTCATACATAAAATACTATATTGACGAAGGTTAAGCGAGTGTTTGTCCCCCTTCCGTACGAACCTGCAAACGAAGTTTAAGGGCTCACTCGGGTCCATTTCACGTGCTGAAACTAAGGATGCGTCAATTCGAAACGAGGTTTGAAAGTTGTCCGAAGTTCGAGCCTACAGTCGAAACTCACAAATCATCAAGGAGTGTGACGAATTGTGGGTTAATATTTTCGTTTCCTCGTGCGATCGAGGTTCGGGGATCGACTCGCAGGGCTGCAGTAACTAGAGCCAGGTCGAATTCTCCCTCGTCACACGCATGTCCAAATACCCCCTCCGTTGAAGCGAAGTTGATGCTTTGATGTCTTTCCTAAGGGCGCCATGCAGAACAGCTAGTGTCACCGCAGTGCTACAACGAATGGCAGGATGAAGTCGTTACAGTCACACCCTCCCGGCAGCTTGGCGCGCAGCGTGCCGTGCGCAGCCACATTGCGAGAAGCTTCTAGAACATGCAGTTGTCGCACGATCACATGGCCGACAAAAAGCCGTCGCACTGTCTCTTTAGCTAATCGCAGCACGACCACGGGACGCGTTAGAGAAGGCGGTACGACCACTATCAGCAGAGCCGGCAACAGCAGTAGCAGCGGAACCGGCGGGAGCGCGAAATCGGGGAAGAATAACCGAAAAGGCAGAGCGAAGGGCGCAGGAAAATCGGCGGTGACTGGTGCGGGTTCATCGGCAGGGGGCGCGAGAAAGCAGGTAGGGTGAAGGGAAATGGAAGGGTAGAAGGAAGAGAACGGAAACGAGCGAATTGGGAAGTCGAGTGAAAGGGGAGGAACAAAGCGGGCAACTTTTGAGTCTACCTAAAGTCGCGAGGAGGAGATTAGATGTTGGGGGAGTAGGGAGTCGAGACACGGTAGGGACTGAAGCGAGGTAGCGAGTAGGTATTTTATTTTCGAGACTCCTAGATCTTTTAGGCGGCTGCATTTCAGGCGCCTTAGGAATGGAAGGGTTGGGGGAAGCGGCGATGGGGAAAAGAACGTTTTTAAGAGTCAAGAAAGACAAGGGCTAAACTCGGGGTTGAGGAGGAAAGGAATAGAAATGGGTCCAGAGGAGCTTATTCTTTTACAATGCATGAGGGAAGGAAATCATTTATGGGAGAATGCGACAGAATTTCTAGGGTTTTGAGACTTGGGGTTTAGCTAGGGCAAAGGAGCGTTGCAAAGACAGTAGGAAGCGGATTAGTGTTGAAGGCTGAGCCAATGATAGGATAAGATTAGTAGGGCTCGGTTAAGATTAGTGGCAGGGTTTTTGGACATGGGCAGGGGTTTTGCGAGGGTTTCTCATCCCACATTTTCCTCATCCCACGCACCCCTTGTTCCCACACAATTTGAATGTATTTAATCATAAATCCCTCTGCAGGCGAGCAGAAGAGAGGAAGTGGTCGAGGATTATGACAAAAAAAAAAAAACTAACTACTAATCATCACTCACACTCCTTTGTCGCTCACACCATCTCCTTCACCTTCTGGCAGGCGAGCAGAAGAGAGGAGGCGGACGGTGATGAGAGCGAGGAGGAGAAATTCTGGGGTAGAGGAGGGGGAGGAAGAGGAGGGAGTGATATGGAGGAGGAGGAGGATAACGATGAGGGGGATGGGGACTCGGAAGAGGAAGAAGCGCTGAAGCTTCCTATGCCGAGCCCACCGGCAGGGTTTGTGCTGGACGATGAAGGGGAGGTGGTGCTGGCTGCACCTGCCGAGAGGAGAACGCTCACCATTGTGAGTGTCTGTTGTTGTTCGTGATGAGTGCCATGCCAACCATGTCAGCAGTCCATTGTGGGCGGGGTTTGTGCTGGACGATGAGGGAGAGGTGGTGCTGGCTGCACCTGCTGCGAGAGGAGAACATTGACCATTGTGAGTTTGTGTTTATGGGACTCCAATGTCCGGTGGTTGGAACAGTCAGGTCCGTTTGTGTGGGGTTTGTGCTGGACGATGAGGGAGAGGTGGTGCTGGCCGCACCTGCCGAACGACCAACGCTGACCATCGTGAGTTAATGTGTCGAGGTTATTACTATGTCAAAAATCCACCGGCAGGGTTTGTCCTGGATGATGAGGGGGAGGTGGTGCTGGCTGCTCCTGCACCTGCTGAGTGGAGAACACTCACCACAGTGAGTGTTGGCCTGTGCTGCTGCTAATGCCGTAGTGGTTGGGTAGTCACTAGCTAGTTACCATGTCACCCATGGCAGCAACACAACTGGTCCATCGGCGGGGTTTGTCCTGGATGATGAGGGGGAGGTGGTGCTGGCTGCACCTGCCGAGTGGAGAACACTCACCATCGTGAATGTTGGCCGGCCTGCTCTGCTGTTAGTGCTGCTGGGTGGGTACCATGTCACCTTTTTGGCGATTGCACCACTCTCATTGCCCTTTATTGTCCCTTCCACCCCCCCTTGCTTTCCTTCAACATACAGCATGACCCCATCACCACCCGGTCATAGGATTGTGTCATTCAACACGCTTTCTTCAGCATTCGTGTATGCCCTGCTCGCTCTCACCTCTCTCTCCCCCATCTCATCCCATCTGCTTTTGAGTCGACTCAAAAGCAGACTGATTACACGCGATTTTGAGTCGACTCAAGAGCAGACTCATTACACGCGATTTTGAGTCGACTCAAAAGCAGACTCATTACACTCAATTTTGAGTCGACTCAAAAGTAGGATTGCGTCATTCATCGCGCTTTCTTCAGCATTCATGTCTGCCCTACCCGCTCTCACCTCTCCCCCATCTCATCCCATCTTCCTCCTTCTTGTCTGCAGCACGATCCCATCACCAACCGCTCATTGGATTGTGTCATCTGGCGCCATGCTTTCCCAACACTCAGTTTCTCATGCCTTCCCATCTTCCCTTCTCCCTTCCCTGCAGCTCGACCCCATCACCAACCGCTCCTTGGATTGTGTCATTCGACGCGCCTTCTCCAACTCGCTTGCCCCTCATTGAACCTCATTGTCCCCTTCTCCTTACTTTATTGATTTCCCCCAATTGTCTGCAGCACGATCCCATCACCAACCGCTCCTTGGACTGTGTCATTCGACGCGCCTTCTCCAACTCGCTCGGCGTCCCCTTCTTCCTTCTGCACCCGCTCGACACGTGCGTTCCGTTCCTCCTCCTGCTTCTTTCTACTGGTTATTGGGTTTAATTCGTCTCTATATGCCTCCCCTGCTTCTCCAACTCGCTCGGTGTCCCCTTCTTCCTTCTGCACCCGCTCGACACGTGCGTTCCGTTCCTCCTCCTGCTTCTTTCTACTGGTTATTGGGTTTAATTCGTCTCTATATGCCTCCCCTGCTTCTCCAACTCGCTCGGCGTCCCCTTCTTCCTTCTGCACCCGCTCGACACGTGCGTTCCGTTCCTCCTCCTGCTTCTTTCTACTGGTTATTGGGTTTAAGTCGTCTCTATATGCCTCCCCTGCTTCTCCAACTCGCTCCGCGTCCCCTTCTTCCTTCTGCACCCGCTCGACACGTTCGTTCCCGTTCCTCTTTGATATTCTTTATAATCAAACTCGCTATGAGACAGTAGCCTCGATACCTGTTCTCCACTTCTCCAAACTCGCCCCGTTCCTTGTGAGGCGATTTTTTAGTGGACTCAAAACCGCCTCATCACATCACATGGGATTATATGCTGAAAGAGTTTTGAGTCGCCTCGATACTTGTTCCCTATATATCCAAGCTCGTCTGGTTCCTGTCGAATTTTGTTCCAACTTTCCTGCCCCACCCTCTCGACACGTGCGGATCTCTCGCCATCCCTCCCCAATCCGCTCTTCTTCGCACTTGATTGCAGACCAATCATGTTCTTCCACATGTCCGGAAGAACAGGCGAGCTGCAAGAAGTGGATGATGAGGAGGCGGAGCGGAGAGGATCATGCCGATTCACCTAGTCTGTTCCTCCCCTTCCCCCCCTTCTCTCCCACCACTTCCTTCCAGCCCCATCATGTTTTTCCGCATCTCTGGGCGAACGGGAGAGCTACAGGAGGTGGATGATGAGGAGGCAGAGCGAATCATGCCGGCTGCCGCTTATGCTCTCGCCAAGAAGAGCCTGCACTTGACTCCCTCAGGGTGAGACTGAAAGCATCTGACCAGAGACCTCGTTTTTGAGAAGAGGTGGATGATGAGGAGGCGGAGAGAATCATGCTGCCTGCTGCGTACGCATTAGCCAAGAAGAGCCTGCACCTGACACCCTCCGGGTGGGGTTACGGGGTAGGCTGAGGTGAGGCTGTAGCTGAACGAAGCGGATGATGAGGAGGCGGAGCGGAACGGATCATGCCCGCTGCTGCATTCGCGCGCATCCGGGTGGACTGAGTGTTGGGAGACAGGCTGACGCGGGGTCGTGAGGTGCGGCTGTAGCTGTAGCTGCTACAGAAGGTGCACGATGAGGGGCCATCATGCAGGTGAGTACGAGAAATGTAGTTGATATATATATATATATATATATATATATATTTTAGCATTTTCTGTCGTTTTTTTTAGAGAGAGTTCTAAAAACATGACGCCATCATGCAGGTGAGCATGAAAAACAGATGTGATAGAGTTGCAGAGGACCCATCTGCTTCACCTTCACACAGCCGCTAACTCTAATCCCTCTTGTCACCCTTTCATTCCTCCTATTCCAATGTTCTTGCACTCTTCCCCGTCGCCATCCCCTTCCCGCTCCCTTGCCTCCCCCCTCGCAGCTTCACTCTCACCCTCAGATGAACCATCTGCTGTACCTTCAGTCTGTCTGTACCTTCAGTCTGTCCCTTCAGTCAGTCTGTCCCTTCAGTCAGTCTGTCCCTTCAGTCAGTCTGTCCCTTCAGTCAGTCTGTCCCTTCAGTCAGTCTGTCCCTTCAGTCAGTCTGTCCCTTCAGTCTGTCCCTTCAGTCTGTCTGTACCTTCAGTCTGTCCCTTTAAGTTGGATTGGAGCTGCTTTCCTCTCATCGCCCTTATCCTCTCATCGCCCTTATCCTCCTCCTCTTCCCGTACTTGACAACCCCCCACCAATGTCCCTCCCTCTTCTCCTCGCAGATTCACCCTCACCCTTAGAGGAGCCATCTGCTTCACAGAGGATGACGTCATCAACCTGGACACTGGTGAGGTCATGCTGATGTCATGCGGCTTGGGAGGGACATGGGGCGTGAGACGTGTGGCATGGGGCATGGTGCAGGCATTGTAAGGCATGAGTCATGGGCTCATGGGGCTTGGAACATGGGGCATGAGGCGTGACTGAAGTCCAAATAAAAAGAGTGATTTCAAAAGATGCCGATACAGAAAATCTCAATGTTTTGTCTTCCTATCCTTCTTTCCTTCTTCTCACACCCCACCCTTACACGCGAGACTGCAGAGCTGGGGTTTGGCATCGGGGGATCCCTGGCTGAAGGGGTTGACATCACCACGTTCCTGTCTGTAAGTTCTTTTTTTCTACCCTTTTAAGTGATTTGAGGTGGTTCAAGTTATTTGAAGTATCTTTCAAGAAGTACCCTACACTCGCAACTGCAGAGCTAGGGTTTGGCATCAGAGGCTGCTTTTGAGTCGACTCAAAAGCAGACTGATTACACGCGATTTTGAGTCGACTCAAAAGCAGACTCGTTACACGCGGTTTCTACATTGAAAAGGTATTAGCTAGGGTTTGGCATCAGCTTTTGAGTCGACTCAAAAGCAGAGCTGGGGTTTGGCATTAGAGGCTTGTTCTTTCAAGGCGGGGTTGACAGCACCACCTTCCTGTCTGTAAGTTGTGCTTACCCAAGGGGTTGAGCTGGTTCAGTATAGATCTATCCACACGCTCATCGACCCCTCCATCCACCATCTGCCATCACCACCAGGGCGGCCAAGAGTACATGATATACACGCCCTTCGACCCTCTCACGTTTGTACGAGTGATCCCGCATGCATCTGAGTTTCCTTTTGAGTCGACTCAAAAGTCAGCTTCGACCCTCTCACGTTTGTATGAGTGATCCCGCATGCATCTGAGTTTCCCAACCTCACCACGCCCTTTGATCCTCCTATCCTCGCACCCATCTCCCACCAGGGCGGGCAGGAGTACATGATATACACGCCTTTCGACCCTCTCATGTTCGTCGCATACAAGGCAAGGACTCCATCTCACCCCATGCATCACTCGTCGTGGCTGAATGGTTTTTTTTTACTTCTTGTATACTGCATTATGCACATACTGTTGACCCATGCCTTCCTCCTTTCCCCCCGAGCACCGAATGTGTTCTTGCGCTTTCTTCGAAATCAATATTTCATCGTTGCTATTAACGCTCTGATTTCATCATCTCTAAGCTGTAACCCGTTTCTCTTTGATTCAGTTCTTTTGATTGCACATCATCACATTGTCCCCTCCCCTTTATCCCATGACCTCTTGTTCTATTCCCAATCAGGACCCAAAGACTAGCGAGATTCTTGTGGCTGAAGATCCTGTAAGTCCATTGTAGTGTTTCCTTTCTCTTTGTTTTTGCCTTTTGTTGCTTGAATTCATGAAAAGAATACAAGTGTATAGCCACGTCTATATAGGCTCACCTTGATTGCTGTCTGTGCACTTGTTTTATACGCCCAGGGTACACTCATGGCAAATCTTTCGCTCAGAGATGTTTACTCGTCGCAAATCTGTTCATTGACCTCCTTTCTCCCTCCCTCTCTATCGTCCGTGACTTTACTCTTTCATCCCCTCAGGAGCTTCTAAACGATCCCAAGGTGTTGGATGCGATAGATGAGGAGCAGCAGTTCCAAGCCATGGTGGTGAGTTGTGGTGGTGATGTGATGGTGTGACCTTGTGCTCTGCTATAAGCACTGTGATGTGGTGCTGTGCCCTGTGCATTGACTTTTGAGTCAACTCAAGAGTCACCTGTGCATAATTCAATCCGTGCCATTAAAGGTGCCCAGTTTCAAGCCGAAGTGGTGATTTCTCCTCTCCTCTCCTCTCCTCCCTTTTCATCTCCTCACCTCTCCTCTCCTCTCCACTCCTCCTCTCTCCTCCTCTCTCCTCTGTCCTCTTCACAGGAGGCAGAGGAGGAGATGGAGGCAACACTGGAGCAGACAGCAAGGCAGGCACCCCTCTGCTTCACGCGTCCCTCCTGCTGTCCCCTTTTTGTGTCCTCTCCCTCGCCCCCTCCTCTCTCCACTCCTTAGGAGGCAGAGGAGGAGATGAAGGCAACACTGGAGCAGACAGCGAGACAGGCACCCTTGCGTTCCCATGACCCTCCTGCTGCCCTCTCCTCCTGCCCTATCCATCCTTTTACTCCACTTGCCTCTTCCCAGGAGGCAGAAGAGGAGACGGAGGCAACACTGGAGCAGACAGCAAGGCAGGCAGCCTTTTGTTCCAGAGAACTCTCCCACGGTCTCTCCTGCCCTCTCACCCTCCTACCCTTTCCTCTGCTCTCCATGTATGTGCTCCCCAGGAGGCCGAAGAGGAGATGGAGGCAACACTGGAGCAGACAGCCGAGGCAGGCAACCCCACATAATCTTCCTGCTCTTTCCCCCCCCTGCTACTGTTCTCGGCCGCCCACTTTTTCCAATCTCCAGGAGGCAGAGGAGGAGATGGAGGCAACACTGGAGCAGACAGCAAGGCAGCCACCCCCGAAGAGCCGGCAGCAGCAGCAGCAGGCACCTGTCAGCTCAAGGAGAGGCCGATAGTTTTCTACAGTTCTCTTAGGAATAATAACAGTACACAAGTAAGAGACTGTGGTATTGCAGCGTGCAGGAACTCATGCAAGGCCGATGCATCAGGTGCTTTTCTTGATGTTGGAAGTATACTATATTTTGTACTAATGAACATGGGTTTGCTATGGTAAAAGCAGTGTGACGCATTGATTGTGCGGTTCGGTAAGGTGCTTCTCATTCTAAACCATTCAATTCGATTCAAGACCATAAACTTATGGTAAACTCATTTGTCACGAATCACTGCACCGACTGATACAGGCAACAGGAGGATTTTCTCCTCTGCACACAGTAATTTGCGCAACTTGCATTGGTTTTCATGCTGACATCATTTGTATTAGTCGACTCAATCCGATATACAGTATGATGAAGCGACGAAATCCACGACGACGCAGCGAATGGCCTGAAAGAGCTCGTCCAACCGCTGCCAGCTGCATGCCGTCTTTACAGCGCCTCAAAGTCGCTCTGGAAAGGAGCTCATAGCGTCAGCGCAGCGAATGTATCTAGGAAGATGCGATGAAATCCACAACGCAGCGAATGCTCTGAAAGAGCTCGTCGAGCCGCTGCCAGCTGGAGGCCTGGGCTTCTTTGAGGGCAGGCAGCTTGGCGCGCAGCTGGGGGAATGAGGAGATTGCTGACCCGTGGATCTGCAGAGGAAGAGAGATACAGGAGAAGAGAAGGGAGGAAGGAACACAGGAACGGCTGAAGTGGAACAGTGCTGTTGTATTGAGTCAGTTAAAAAGGGCTGCTCTGAGGGCGGGCAGCTTGGCGCGCAGCGCAGCTGAGGGAATGAGGAGATGGCTGACCCGTGGATCTGCGATGGGGAAAAAGACACAGCGGGAACACAAAGTCAGAAACGTCGTGCAGATCCCCTTGTGAGGGGCTGTCATCGACCATCTCGTTCGGACGCAGCTCCAGATCCCATACCTTAAACCCTAAACTTCGACCCATAAACCCTGAACCCCCTGAATTACCCTAGCCCAGATCCACACTCCCTAACATGGCCATGCACCCACCGCCAGAAATCGGTGCATCATGGCTTGTAGCAGCTTGAAGTCGCAACTTCCTCGAAGCTTCCCCTCAAGAAAGCACATGAAGAGAGCCACCCGGTTCAGGTCCGCCGAGGAGGGGCTGTCATCGACGATATTGATCGCCCACCTCCCGAACCCCAACCCTTAACCCCTTAGCATTACACATTAAACCCTAAAACCCCTGAAACATAGAGCCCTAGCAGCCCTAGTTCTCATTCCCACGCAACCACGCACGTACCGCCAGGAATCGGTGCGTCACCGCTTGCAGCAGCTCAAAGTCGCAGCTTCCACGAAGCTTCCCCTCGAGGAAGGACATGAAGAGAGCCACCCGGTGCAGGTCCGCCGGGGAGGGGCTGTCATCAACGATCTCGATCGCCCGCAGCTCCAAATCAACGGCTGACGGCGACATGACCTTCAGCAGAGCCGTAGCTTGGGAGTCTGTTAATAGAAGAGAGAGCGAGGTGGGGAAGAGACAAGGGAAAGCGATTTGAGTGAGATGAGGAGGGAAAGAGAATCAGGAAATCTCAAGATCAATGGCTGACGGGGACATGGATTTCCGTAGGGAAAGGTGAGGAGGGGAGGAGGTGATCGAGTGGGGAAGATGTTGAGATCAACGGCTGATTGTGCTTGGCTTTCAGCAGTGCCATGGCTTGTGGCCTTTAACAAAAGAAGCCACTCATTGAGGTGAGTTTTGAGGCGCCTCAAACAAATCTCACCTCAATGGCTTGTGGCCTGTTACTAATGAAGCCACTCACAGTCCCGTGCATGTAGTGAGTGAGTCAAGGTCCCGAAAATCAACTGAAGATCTATGTCCACCTCAAACTCCTCCAGACCTCCCCTCTGCGAGGTACATCCCCCCAGACCCGTAAATGCCATGAGAGACAAGTCACTCACAGTCTGCTGGCTCGCTCTGTGCTCCTCTTCTGATGGCCCTCATCAGCTCCGTGTCCATTTCAAACTCCTCCAGTCCTCCTTTTTGGAGAGTGAATACCTCAACAGAGTGGCTAGGCTAGTGGGAGACAAGCACCCTCATCTTGGCTAGTGAGAGAGAGAGAGAGACAAGCCACTCACAGTCTGCTGACTCGCTCTGTGCGCCTCTTCTGATCGCTCTCATCAGCTCCGTGTCCATCTCAGAGTCCTCTAGACCTCCCTCCTGTGGGGTGCAGTGCATGCCCTGCCACAGTGTGGCGCATGTGTTACACGACAAACAGCACCACCAAAATCACTCACAGTCTGCTGGGTCGCACTGAGCTCCTCTTCTGATGGCCCTCATCAGCTCAGTGTCCATTTCAGAGTCCTCCAGACCTCCTCGCATCACCCTCCCATGCCTCCTCTTCCCCAACACACCCCCCTTCTTCCCTCCCTCCTCTGCCCTCTCTCCTCCCTCCTCCCCTTCCGCTCCTCCCTCCTCCCCCTCCTCACTCCCCTCCTCTCCCTCCTCCTCCTCCCCTTCCTCCATCTCCGCGTCTCCTTCACTCCCCCATCCAGGCAAAGCACCGCCTGAAGAACCACCTGAAGCACCTGCAACACCATCAGCAGCAGCAGCGGTGCTACCAGTAGGTTCGGCCGAACCAGCCGAGCCGGCAGGTTCGGCCGAGCCAGCAGCAACAGCAGCAGCGGCCTGGGGAGGAGCAAAGTGGATCGCCCCCGAGAACGTCGGTACGGAGGGGAGGAAGAAGGGCGCCTGCTCAGGCTTCTTGGGCGGCTGAATCGGCCTGTTTCTCTCCTTGATCACATCTAGCATCACTAGATTCACCCACTGAGAGCGAGGCAGCATGGCACGGGATATCAGCCCCGGGACTTGAAGTTGAAGCTCCTGGTTCTGCTGTTGGTTCTCTCCTGCAGCAGCAGCAGCAGCACCACCACCACTACCACCAGCGGCGGCGGCAGCAGCGGCAGTGGCGGCGGCACTGGTTTCATAGTCCCTCGCTTCTCTCTCTGCCTCTTCAGCTGTCCAGTATTCTGCTCTCGTCCCCCCCTCGCTCTTCCCTCTCCCTACCTCACCTTCCCCTCCACTCACTCCCGCTCTCCCTCCTCCCCCCTCCCCAGCTATAACCGCCACGTCCCCTGTCCCCACACCCCTTCCACCCACCCTCCTCCCCTCCTCATCCTCCTCCTCCCCCTCCGCTCCCTCGTTTGGACCAATCAGAATTGGCATCTGGACAGCTGGCACGCTGCTATTGGTCCCGGTGCCGTCAGTTGCGGTGGCGGCAGGGAGGGAGGGGGGAACCGGGAGGAGGTCGGAGTCATCTATCCCAGAATACATGGCCTTGTTCGCCCTGCAAGAACGGGGCATGGAAAAGCGGGGGCATGTGAGCTGCGAAGTAAAGAGTTAGAGGGGAGCCGGGAGAAGGTCCGAGTCATCTATCCCAGAGTACATGGCCTTGTTCGCCCTGAGGGAGCGGGGGAGAGGGGTGGGGGCAAGGGTGGGGGATTGAGGGGGGGCAGCATAGGGGAAAGGGGGATATGACAAGAGAGTGAGAGAGGGGAGCAGGGAGGAGGTCTGAGTCGTCTATCCCAGAGTACATGGCCTTGTTGGCCCTGAGAGAGGGGAGGGGAGAGAAGGAAATAAACGTGAGTTAGGGGATGAGTAACGGTACAAAGGGATGGAAGGGGAGGGCAGGGAGGGAGGGGGGAGCGGGGAGGAGGTCCGAGACGTCAATCCCAGAGTACATGGCTGGCCTTGTTCGCCCTGAGTAGATGGAGCAGGGTTGAGCGGGGAAGGGAGTGGCAGCATAGGGGAAACATGGTTTCAGGGTGAGTAATGAATGGCAGCAGGGAGAGAGAGGGGAGCCGGGGGGAGGTCCGAGTCGTCAATCCAAGCCAGAGTGCATGTCTGGCCTTGTTCGCCCTGAGAGGGAAAAAAGGGAGGACGGGGGGGAAGGGATAGGAGGAAGGCATATAGGGAGTGAGTAACGGTACAAGGGGATGAAAGGGAGGAGGCACGGGGAGAAAGGGGAGCCAGGAGGAGATCCGAGACGTCTATCCCAGAGTACATGGCTGGTCTTGTTCGCCCTGAGAGGCGCGAGGGGGGTTCGCAGATTAGGGGAAGGGTGGCATGAGGTGAGTAACGGTTCAAAGAGGTGAAGGGGGGCAGTGAGGGAGAGGGGAGACGGGGGGAGTCGGAGCGGAGCCGGTTATCCCAGAGAATAGGGGAAAGGCGTATCTGGGGTTGGGATGGATGGTGGCTAGAAGGTCTGATCTGAAGAGGGCGACGTAGAGAGTCCCCACGACAGCTGTCGGCAATCTGATCTTACGCAGCAGTACACCTCCCCAGAATAAGTAAGGCCATTACCAGAGAAGAGATAGATCCCTCGCCGCCGGTTCAGATGGATGGTGGCGCGGAGGTCCGAGGACGGCGGCAACATGGACAGCCCCACGACGACAGCTGTCGGCCTAAAGCCCAAGCCACAGCTGTATTTTGGCCTAAACCCCAAGCCACAGCTGTATTTTGGCCTAAAGCCCAAGCCACAGCTGTATTTTGGCCTAAAGCCCAAGCCACAGCTGTATTTTGGCCTAAACCCCAAGCCACAGCTGTATTTTGGCCTAAAGCCCAAGCCACAGCTGTATTTTGGCCTAAAGCCCAAGCCACAGCTGTATTTTGGCCTAAAGCCCAAGCCACAGCTGTATTTTGGCCTAAAGCCCAAGCCACAGCTGTATTTTGGCCTAAAGCCCAAGCCACAGCTGTATTTGGGCCTAAAGCCCAAGCCACAGCTGTATTTTGGCCTAAACCCCAAGCCACAGCTGTATTTTGGCCTAAAGCCCAAGCCACAGCTGTATTTGGGCCTAAACCCCAAGCCACAGCTGTATTTTGGCCTAAACCCCAAGCCGAAAGACACCTCTGCAGAATCGATAAAGCACTCACCAGAGATAGATCCCTCGCCGGTTCAGTTCAGATGGATGGTGGCGAGGAGGTCGGAAATGGGCGACATGGACAGCCCGCCCCACGACAGCTGTCGGCACCTGGAAGTTGACTTTTGAGTCGACTCAAAAGTCAGCCCCGCGACAGCTACCAGCACCTGGAAAGCGTCCAGCGGGCGGCCAAGAGCCTGCATTTGCTAAAACGTGTGATTACCTGAGCCGCTCTAACCCTTACCAGAGGTATATGCCTCTCCGGTTCAGATGGATGGTGGCGGGGAGGTCGGAAGTGGACAGCCCCGCCACAGCTGTCGGCACCTGGAAGTCAGAACACGTTACACACCTCTCCAGAACCAATAAGGCGCTTGCAGTGCTCACCAGAGGTAGATTCCCCGGCGGTTGAGGTGAATGGTGGCAAGAAGGTCCGAAGTGGGTGACATGGACAGCCCCACGACAGCTGTCGGCACCTGGAAAGCGTCCAGCGGGCGGCCACTCACGACATGCCACGTGCGCACGGTCAGATCCATGGCTGACGTCAGCAGCCACCGGCCGTCGGGGCTGACCTCGACGGCGGTGATCCGATCCTCGTGGCCCGGGAACCGCCGAACCAGCCGGCCAGCCTCGGCGTCGAAGATGTAGGTCGTGAAATTCTCGCAGGCGATTGCTGCTAGGTCTGGTGGACCAAAAGAAAGCAGAGGGGAGTTGACGGGAAGGAAGGGAGAGGGGAGGGAAGGAGAAAAACATTCAATGGTTTGTCACATTCAGCATCAGAAAACCCACATTCAGCAATTGCTTTCAACACTCACCGTTGTCAAATTCACTATCAGCATCAGAAACACCTAATTGGACAAAAAATCACATTCTACAGGAAGGCCACATCCATCGATTGCTTTGTAGACTCACTGTTGTCACACCAGACTTCGATAACCACCGAAGTTATACTCGTTACAAGCACACTCACTGTTGCCGTGATGGAACTTCAACTTCACTATAGGCGAGCCGACATTCACATCGAATCGCAGGCGGCCGGACTTGAGATACCAGACCTGAGAGTAGGGAGGAGGGGAGGGGGAGGGCCAGTGGATGACAAGGGGTGAATGAGGCAATCACAAAACAGGAGTGAAATTCACATTGACTGCATTGCAGCCGACCTGACTTGAAAAACCAGACCTGGCTGTCTCTGCCGCAGCTGATGCTGTGCCCGTTGATGCTGTGCCCGTTGATGCTGTGCCCGTTGATGCTGTGCCCGTTGATGCTGTGCCCGTTGATGCTGTGCCCGTTGATGCTGTGCCCGTTGATGCTGTGCCCGTTGATGCTGTGCCCGTTGATGCTGTGGCCGTTGATGCTGTGCCCGTTGATGCTGTGCCCGTTGATGCTGTGCCCGTTGATGCTGTGCCCGTTGATGCTGTGCCCGTTGATGCTGTGCCCGTTGATGCTGTGCCCGTTGATGCTGTGCCCGTTGATGCTGTGCCCGTTGATGCTGTGCCCGTTGATGCTGTGCCCGTTGATGCTGTGCCCGTTGATGCTGTGCCCGTTGATGCTGTGCCCGTTGATGCTGTGCCCGTTGATGCTGTGCCCGTTGATGCTGTGCCCGTTGATGCTGTGCCCGTTGATGCTGTGCCCGTTGATGCTGTGCCCGTTGATGCTGTGCCCGTTGATGCTGTGCCCGTTGATGCTGTGCCCGTTGATGCTGTGCCGTTGATGCTGTGGCCGTTGATGCTGTGCCCGTTGATGCTGTGGCCGTTGATGCTGTGGCCGTTGATGCTGTGCCCGTTGATGCTGTGCCCGTTGATGCTGTGCCCGTTGATGCTGTGCCCGTTGATGCTGTGGCCGTTGATGCTGTGGCCGTTGATGCTGTGCCCGTTGATGCTGTGCCCGTTGATGCTGTGCCCGTTGATGCTGTGCCCGTTGATGCTGTGCCCGTTGATGCTGTGCCCGTTGATGCTGTGCCCGTTGATGCTGTGCCCGTTGATGCTGTGCCCGTTGATGCTGTGCCCGTTGATGCTGTGCCCGTTGATGCTGTGCCCGTTGATGCTGTGGCCCCGTTGATGCTGTGCCCGTTGATGCTGTGCCCGTTGATGCTGTGCCCGTTGATGCTGTGCCCGTTGATGCTGTGGCCGTTGATGCTGTGCCCGTTGATGCTGTGCCCGTTGATGCTGTGCCCGTTGATGCTGTGCCCGTTGATGCTGTGCCCGTTGATGCTGTGCCCGTTGATGCTGTGCCCGTTGATGCTGTGCCCGTTGATGCTGTGCCCGTTGATGCTGTGCCCGTTGATGCTGTGCCCGTTGATGCTGTGCCCGTTGATGCTGTGCCCGTTGATGCTGTGCCCGTTGATGCTGTGCCCGTTGATGCTGTGCCCGTTGATGCTGTGCCCGTTGATGCTGTGCCCGTTGATGCTGTGCCCGTTGATGCTGTGCCCGTTGATGCTGTGCCCGTTGATGCTGTGCCCGTTGATGCTGTGCCCGTTGATGCTGTGCCCGTTGATGCTGTGCCCGTTGATGCTGTGCCCGTTGATGCTGTGCCCGTTGATGCTGTGCCCGTTGATGCTGTGCCCGTTGATGCTGTGCCCGTTGATGCTGTGCCCGTTGATGCTGTGCCCGTTGATGCTGTGCCCGTTGATGCTGTGCCCGTTGATGCTGTGCCCGTTGATGCTGTGCCCGTTGATGCTGTGCCCGTTGATGCTGTGCCCGTTGATGCTGTGCCGTTGATGCTGTGCCCGTTGATGCTGTGCCCGTTGATGCTGTGCCCGTTGATGCTGTGCCCGTTGATGCTGTGCCCGTTGATGCTGTGCCCGTTGATGCTGTGCCCGTTGATGCTGTGCCCGTTGATGCTGTGCCCGTTGATGCTGTGCCCGTTGATGCTGTGCCCGTTGATGCTGTGCCCGTTGATGCTGTGCCCGTTGATGCTGTGCCCGTTGATGCCTGCCCGTTGATGCTGTGCCCGTTGATGCTGTGCCCGTTGATGCTGTGGCCCGTTGATGCTGTGCCCGTTGATGCTGTGCCCGTTGATGCTGTGCCGTTGATGCTGTGCCCGTTGATGCTGTGCCCGTTGATGCTGTGCCCGTTGATGCTGTGCCCGTTGATGCTGTGCCCGTTGATGCTGTGCCCGTTGATGCTGTGCCCGTTGATGCTGTGCCCGTTGATGCTGTGCCCGTTGATGCTGTGCCCGTTGATGCTGTGCCCGTTGATGCTGTGCCCGTTGATGCTGTGCCCGTTGATGCTGTGCCCGTTGATGCTGTGCCCGTTGATGCTGTGCCCGTTGATGCTGTGCCCGTTGATGCTGTGCCCGTTGATGCTGTGCCCGTTGATGCTGTGCCCGTTGATGCTGTGCCCGTTGATGCTGTGCCCGTTGATGCTGTGCCCGTTGATGCTGTGCCCGTTGATGCTGTGCCCGTTGATGCTGTGCCCGTTGATGCTGTGCCCGTTGATGCTGTGCCCGTTGATGCTGTGCCCGTTGATGCTGTGCCCGTTGATGCTGTGCCCGTTGATGCTGTGCCCGTTGATGCTGTGCCCGTTGATGCTGTGCCCGTTGATGCTGTGCCCGTTGATGCTGTGCCCGTTGATGCTGTGCCCGTTGATGCTGTGCCCGTTGATGCTGTGCCCGTTGATGCTGTGCCCGTTGATGCTGTGCCCGTTGATGCTGTGCCCGTTGATGCTGTGCCCGTTGATGCTGTGCCCGTTGATGCTGTGCCCGTTGATGCTGTGCCCGTTGATGCTGTGCCCGTTGATGCTGTGCCCGTTGATGCTGTGCCCGTTGATGCTGTGCCCGTTGATGCTGTGCCCGTTGATGCTGTGCCCGTTGATGCTGTGCCCGTTGATGCTGTGCCCGTTGATGCTGTGCCCGTTGATGCTGTGCCCGTTGATGCTGTGCCCGTTGATGCTGTGCCCGTTGATGCTGTGCCCGTTGATGCTGTGCCCGTTGATGCTGTGCCCGTTGATGCTGTGCCCGTTGATGCTGTGCCCGTTGATGCTGTGGCCCGTTGATGCTGTGCCCGTTGATGCTGTGCCCGTTGATGCTGTGCCCGTTGATGCTGTGCCCGTTGATGCTGTGCCCGTTGATGCTGTGCCCGTTGATGCTGTGCCCGTTGATGCTGTGCCCGTTGATGCTGTGCCCGTTGATGCTGTGCCCGTTGATGCTGTGCCCGTTGATGCTGTGCCCGTTGATGCTGTGCCCGTTGATGCTGTGCCCGTTGATGCTGTGCCCGTTGATGCTGTGCCCGTTGATGCTGTGCCGTTGATGCTGTGCCCGTTGATGCTGTGCCCGTTGATGCTGTGCCCGTTGATGCTGTGCCCGTTGATGCTGTGCCCGTTGATGCTGTGCCCGTTGATGCTGTGCCCGTTGATGCTGTGCCCGTTGATGCTGTGCCCGTTGATGCTGTGCCCGTTGATGCTGTGCCCGTTGATGCTGTGCCCGTTGATGCTGTGCCCGTTGATGCTGTGCCCGTTGATGCTGTGCCCGTTGATGCTGTGCCCGTTGATGCTGTGCCCGTTGATGCTGTGCCCGTTGATGCTGTGGCCGTTGATGCTGTGCCCGTTGATGCTGTGCCCGTTGATGCTGTGCCCGTTGATGCTGTGCCCGTTGATGCTGTGGCCGTTGATGCTGTGCCCGTTGATGCTGTGCCCGTTGATGCTGTGCCCGTTGATGCTGTGCCCGTTGAGAGCGTCATTAGCAGCGCCAGTCACCATGCCACCGTGCACCATGCCACCGTGCACCATGCCACCGTGCACCATGCCACCGTGCATCGGGCTGTACTGCATCTTCTCTGACTGGTACGCCACGCGGTGCTGCCTGCCAGTGCTCTCACTCCCCTTGAACCGACCGTCTCTGCTCTCACCTTGACATGCCCATCTCTGCCGCAGCTGATGCTGTGGCCGTTGATGCTGTGGCCGTTGAGCGCATCGACAGCAGCGCCAGTCACCATGCCACCATGTGCCGGACTCTACTGCATCTTCTGGACGCCACTCGGTGAGAGAGGAGGAGAGAGAAAAACAGTTCCATGCTGCCTGCCAGTTCTCTTACTCACCTTGACACGCCCATCTCTGCCGCAGCTGATGCTGTGCCTGTTGAGTGCGTCAATAGCAGCGCCAGTCACCATGCCGCCATGTGCCGGGCTGTACTGCATCTTCTCTGACTGGTACGCCACGCGGTGCCGTGCTGACTGCAGGTGGAAGAGGTGCAGATGACCCGAGGAGGTGCCTACCAGGGCGAAGTTGCCGCACATGCTGGCCGCACACACCTGGTGGGTTGGGCAGGGAGGGGGAAGAGAGAGGGGATGCATTGCTCGCTTCTTCCTCCACTGGTACGCCACGCGGTGCCGTGCTGACTGCAGGTGGAAGAGATGCAATGCAAACCACCCGAGGAGGTTCCTACAAGGCTACAAGGGCGAAGTTGCCACACACACACACACTAGCTGTGCATGCCTTCAATTTCTCAAGCGCCTTAGATCAGAAACACACACGCCCGCTACGCATGCCCATTATTGAGAAGGGAGGGAAAAGGAGGGGAGGGAAGGGGAGGGAAGGGAAGGGGAGGGGAGGGAATGGGAAGGGGGAAAAGGGGAGTAGGGGGGGGGGGAGGGGTAGGGAGGGGAGGGGAGGGGAGGGTAGGGTAGGGGAGGGGGGAGGGAGGGGAGGAGCTGATTTATCTAAAAAGCAAAGAAGGTGGCTTTCAATCGTAGAGGGCATCAATCTTAATCTCACTCCTAGAGGGCATGAAGGACCATGTCTAATTGTAATCTTACTCCTGCTTACAGTGGCAGGCGAGGGTTCAATTCCTGGCGGAACCAGCCTCAGCTTGCCGATCACAAAATTCCTCAGCTCCCAAACGAATGCTGCTGGGTTACCCTCGTGGCAGGTCACCACGTTCGCCCAGTCCCTCTCCCGCACCTCAGCTGAACATAAAGGTATAATGAAGTACAGAGGGGTACAGAGGGGCGAAGAGGGAGTACAGAATGGTCAGAAGTGGTCAACAAGGTGAGAGGTAGTAGCCAGCCTTGTGTGACGACGGTCCAAAGTTCCTCAGCTCCCACACGAATGCTGCTAGGTGGGTTGCCCTCGTGACAGGTCACCACATTCGCCCAGTCACTCTCCCGCACCTCAGCTGAGATGTGGGTACAGTGCGGTAGAGAGGGATGACAAGCGGTGAAGAGGGAGTACAGGACGGTAAGAAGTAGTAACAAGGTTAGAGGGAAGTAGCCATGTGTGACGACATTCCAAAGTTCCTCAGCTCCCACACAAATGCTTACCACCATTTATGCACTGCGGAGCGGACCACCTTGGAGACGTCTCAAATTTCGAGACGTCTCAAAACTCCTCTCAGACATCTAAATCCTCACCTCCCACACAAATGCTTACCAGCGTCAATGCAGACCACCTTGGAGAGCTTTAGCTTCTCCTCCTGAGATTGAAAAAAAGAGAGGTGGCAACGAGGGGAGAGAGAGGGGGCAGGGGGAAGGGAAAGTTGAAGGACAGTGGAAGTTTTTGAATTAGCGAAGAGACAAGCAAAGAAGGGGCAGGGTGGGAGGCACAGGAAGAAGGGATGGGGAACTTATATCAACGCTCGCAACTATTGTGACCACTCAAAACGAGGTGACTTTTGAGTTAACTCAGAAGGAGGAACGATGAACTTATAGGAGTGCTTGCACCATTGGTTTACTGGCACCAACGTGCAAGGATGACGGAAACTTGCCATGCATGCCAACGTATGTCCACACTCCTGTTCTTCCCCCCCTCTCCCCTCCCCCCACGCATCATCCTCTTCATCCTTTCTAATTTTCCCTGTGATAACTCCTTGCTCCGCGTGTAATGAGTCGTGTTTCAAGTCGAATCAAAACACGACTTTTCATCCGTTCTAATTTTCCCTGCGACAAATCCTTGCTCTCCCCATCCATGCATACCAGGGTGGGTCTCGCCCCTCTCTCATCCCCTTCACCTTCATCATCATCCTATTCATCCTCTTTTCTGAGTTTCCCTGCAATAAACCCATGCCTTGGTCTATACTTTTGAGGCGCCTCAAAAGTTGGTCCATGACGCCCCCTCATTTACCTGCAAAGGTGTATCACCACTCGGTTCTTTCCTCCCACCCCCTTCCCTCACCTGTAGTGAGGTGCATTTTGAGGCGCCTCAAAATGCACCTCACTACACCATGACGCCCCCTCAATTACCTGCGAAGGTGTATCACCACTCGGTTCTTTCCTCCCACCCCCTTCCCTCACCTTCATCATCATTTTCTTCATTCTCTTCTCAAAGTTTCCCTGCGATAACTCCCGGCTTTGCTGGTCCTGGTAGGGGGAAGGAACAGAAAAGGAGGGAGGAGCGTACGAGTGTGAGCTTTCCAATTATGAGTCCAACGCGGGTGGCAAAAAAAAAAAAAACATGAAGAAGAGCATTCCGTATCCCTGTACAAATACAACCCAAGAAAACAAAACATTAAGAGGAGCATTTGGAATGACATACACATGCGCACACACAGGGAGGCACGCACTCTCACACACAAACTCACACAATCGGAACAAGTACTGACAGAGCAACATTTGCCCGTGCGTCGAATTTCCCGGCGCCTCAAATCTTGTATGTGAGAGAAACTCCTGACAACATTCTTGAACACTTCGAAGCATTTCTGAACGGTGGAGGATGGTATAGAACGGTACTGAAAGCATACCTGAACGGTGGAGAAGATGCGGAAGCTTCTGTCGAGCCCAGCCGAGAGAATGTGACGGCCGTTCCTGTAGTACCTGGCGTTGGGTGGGATGCGGTGCGATGCGGTAAGATCGGGTGAGATCGGGTGAGATGTGATGGTGGTGTGGGATGGAGTGTGATAGGGTGTGATGGGAGGAACGTGATGAGAATGTGGCGTCCGTTCCTGTAGTACCTGATGGTGGGATGTGATGGGGTGAGATGGGGTGAGATGGGGTGAGATGGGGTGAGATGTGGTGAGATGTGGTGAGATGGGGTGAGATGTGGTGAGATGTGGTGAGATGTGGTGAGATGTGGTGAGATGTGGTGAGATGTGGTGAGATGGGGTGAGATGGGGTGCCAGAATTTTCAGAAACGATAGCAGCAGGGCGGTTTGCTTTGTACCCCTTGATGAAGCAGAGAGGTTTGCTTTGTACTTACTTGATGCAGCAGGGCGGCTTGCTTAACTTACTTGATGCAGCAGGGCGGCTTGCTTAACTTACTTGATGCAGCAGGGCGGCTTGCTTAACTTACTTGATGCAGCAGGGCGGCTTGCTTAACTTACTTGATGCAGCAGGGCGGCGAGCTGTGTCCTGTGCGGTAGCGCAAGAGACGAGGGTTGTCGTCCACCGAATCAAATATCCAGATCTGATATGCGAGAAGAAGCGGGGCGGGTAGCGGTCGGGAAGGCGTGTTGGAAAAGGGAGTAGGGGACACAACGGGTGGGAGAGGGGGAGAAGGTGAGAGGGGAACGGGGGGTTGATGGGGGAGTGGGGAACACAATGGGGAGAGGGGGAGAAGGTGAGAAGGGGAGGGGAGGTGATGGGGAGAGAGAGAGAGAGAGAGAGAGAGAGAGAGAGAGAGAGAGAGAGAGAGAGAGAGGGGGGGGGGGATTAACAGGGAGAGCATATTTTGACGGGGATGATGGAGACCATATATTAGCAGGGGCAGACCGTCGTGAGCGCCGGGGATGGTGGAGTGCAGACGACGATTGGTGAGGTCACAGACGGCGATTGGTGAGGTCACAGACGACGATTGAAGAAGAGAAGGGGTTACGGAAGCGTTAGCATTACCTTGAGGCTGTTGTTTGCCCCTGCAGACAAGAGCAAAGGCTCATTGACAAGGAAGGAGACGGCAGCCACGCGGCCATCATGCGAATCGGGGATAATGGAGTGCAGGCGGCGGTGGGTGGGACGGGGGAGAAGAAGAGGCTACAGACAGAGACACTGCAGTGGGTCTTCCAACAGTCGCACCTTGAGGCTGTTGTCTGCCCCAGCAGAGAGCAGAAGAGGCTCGCTTGTTTTTGAGTCGACTCAAAACCAGCAGAGAGCAGAAGAGGCTCGTTGACGAGGAAGGAGAGGGCAGCCACACGCCCGTCATGGGTGTCGGGAATGATGGAGTGCAGATGACGCTTTGTTAGGTGAATGGAGAGGGGGGGCTACAGAGACTACAGCCAAGTGGGGCACAGGAGGACCACAGCATGTAGCTTGAGGCTGTTATCGGCACCGGCACACAAGAGCAGAGGCTCATTGACGAAGAAGGAGAGGGCTGCCACGCGGCCGTCATGCGCGTCGGGGATGATGGCGTGCAGTGCAGGCGGCGGTAGATGGGATGGGGAAGAACTTTTGAGACGTCTCATGAGACGACTTTTGAGACGTCTCAAAAGTTGATGGCGTGCAGTGCAGGCGGCGGTAGATGGGATGGGGAAGAACGGGAGGCGAGGGTCAACAGAGAGGGGCTACAGAGAGGGGCTACAGAGAGGGGCTACAGAGAGGGGCTACAGAGAGGGGCTACAGAGAGGGGCTACAGAGAGGGGCTACAGAGAGGGGCTACAGAGAGGGGCTACAGAGAGGGGCTACAGAGAGGGGCTACAGAGAGGGGCTACAGAGAGGGGCTACAGAGAGGGGCTACAGAGAGGGGCTACAGAGAGGGGCTACAGAGGCACCAGCAGTAGCTTGAGGCTGTTGTCTGCCCCAGCAGAGAGCAGAAAAGGCTCGTTGACGAGGAAAGAGAGGGCAGCCACGCGGCCATTGTGGTGTGGGCATCCGGGATGATGGAGTGCAGGCAGTGGTTGTTTGGGCGAGGAGAAGGAGAGGCCATACCTTGAGGCTGTTATCAGCGCCAGCGGACAGCAGAAGCGGCTCATTCACGAGAAAAGAAAGCGCCGCTACACGGCCATCATGAGCGTCGGGAATGATAGAGTGCAGACGGCGGTTGGTGAGGTCCCACACGCTGATAGCTCCTCCCATGCCGCCCACCGCTAGAAGAGGCGGACCATCTGCGGAGTGAGGGGGGTGGGAGCAGCAGGGGGAGAACAGCAGAACAACATGAGCATCAGGGATGATGGAAGTGCAGGCGGCGGGTTATTTTGAGGCGCCTCAAAATACAGCAGGGCGGAGCAGAACAGCAGAACGACATGAGCATCAGGGATGATGGGAGTGCAGGCGGCGGGTTATCCAGCCGGATGTCATGCACATGCACCTTGCCATCGCTGGACTGAACCCAGCACTGCACTCAACCGCACTAAAGCGCACTACACCATTGACGAAGGCTGACCTGAGTTGATGGCCAGGGAAGTCACAGCGCTGGCAGCAGCGTGGGTGAAATCCACGGCTGGTTTATCCAGCCTTATGTTATGCACATGCACCTTACCGTCGCTGCACCCCACTGCCACCGTGTCCAACGCAGGCGACCCCACCAGCGCTGCTATCCCCACTGCTCACCACTGCACCGCGCTGCACCGCGGTGCCGCACTAAACCGCACAAGACCGCAAGAGAAGGCCCACTAACCTGAGTTGAAGGCAAGGGAGGTGACGGCGCCGGCAGCAGCGTGGGTGAAATCCACGACTGGTCGATCCAGCCTTATGTTATGCACATGCACCTTGCCATCGCCGCCACCACACTGCACTGCACTGCACCTCAGTACCGCACTAAACCGCACAAGACTGCAAGAGAAGACCAACCAGCCTGAGTTGAAGGCAAGGGAGGTGACGGCGCCCGCAGCAGCGTGGGTGAAATCCACGACTGGTTTATCCAGCCTTATGTTATGCACATGCACCTTGCCGTCGCTGCACCCCACTGCTACTGTATCCAACGCAGGCGACCCCACCGGTGCTGCTACCTCCACAGTCCAGCACTGCAACACTCGGCATTACGCCATAAGGAAAGACTCAACTAACCTGAGTTGAAGGCCAGGGAGGTGACGGCGCCGGCAGCAGCAAGGGTGAAATCCACCACCGGTTTATCCAGTCGAATGTTATGCACATGCACCCTGCCATCGCTGCACCCCACTGCCACTGTATCCAACACAGGCGACCCCACCAACGCTGCTATCCCCACTGCTTAGCACCGCACTTCACTGTATCATAGTACCGCACTAGACCGCACAAGACCGCACGGAAGGACCAACCGACCTGAGTTGAAGGCGAGGGATGTCACAGCACCGGCAGCAGCGTGTGTGAAATCCACGACTGGCCTATCCAGCCTTATGTTATGCACATGCACCTTGCCGTCGCTGCACCCCACTGCTACTGTATCCAATGCAGGCGACCCCACCAGTGCTGTTATCCCCACGCCCCACCCCTTGAACTCGTACAGAAGCTTCCTGGAATTTACATTCCACAGCTGCATGCGCCCGTCTTCTGACGCGAACAGGAGCTTGTTGAGGTACGTGTCGGGGTGAATTACCCCGGTTGGATTGAACCCCTCGGGCAGCTGAAACTGCCCGAGAGGCTCCAGAACAAACCCCTCCTGGTCAGCCCCTCCAGGTTTCTTCCCCTCTTCGTTCCCCACTCCTCCATCCCCATCCGGTCCCCCTCTTTCCCCTCTACCCTCCTCTTCTTCATTCCCCTCCTTCCCCTTCCCTTCCTCTCCCTCTCCCTTGGGCGCATCTCTTTGTGTCCCTCTGACCGGCCACATAAGCACATGCCTATTCTCGTCCACTGAAATCAAGTATTCGCCAAACACGAGCAGCAGCTTGATCTTCGCCTTGTGTCCCTTCAGTGTCCCCACCTGTCAGCACGAGCGGCAAGGAGGGGCAAGGGAGAGGGTGCTTAAGGCGGGTGAGCGTCTCTTTGCGCCCCTCTGACTGGCCACAGGAGCACATGCCTCTGCTCGTCCACTGAGAGCAGGCATTCGCCCAACACCAGAAGAAGCCTGACCTTCGCCCTGTGACCCTTGAACGTTCCCACCTGCCAGCATGGGCGGCAAGAAGGAGGGGCAAGGGAGAGGGTGCTTAAGGCGTGTGAGCTGAGCATCTCTATGCCTCCCCTCTAACAAGCCACATGAGCACATGCCTGTCCTCGTCCACTGAAAGCAGGTATTCGCCCAAACACACAGAAGAAGCCTGACCTTCGCCCTGTGCCCCTTGAGAGTTCTCACCTGCCAGAGAGAAGGGCGAGTGGGAGGGGAAGGGATAGGGGAATAGGGGGAAAACGGGGCAATAATACAAGAATCTCTGTTTGCTTGTTTTCCTAAAGAACGGATCGTTAGAGTATTAGAGTAGTATATGAAACTCGTGTTTCGCACCCACCCATTCTAGTTCCACAGCTACACTGGCGGCAACACCCACCAACACCCAGTTCCACCTGGGGCGAGCAGTAGAAGGCGGCAATGTCAGTGCCAACCAAGGCTGCAAAGGTGCAGTCGCGATGAGAGGTTAGCGCATGGACAGACTTGGACCAACGCCCACACCCAGCAACACCCACCTGCACCCACACCCCCTGTAACACCTCGCTACCCACTGGGTCAAAACGAGGGTTGTATTTGAGGCGCAGCGGATGCTCTCATACCCTTACGTGTAAGCCCCACAGGCGTAACACTCGTCCCCCCCTGGAGCCAACGTCCTCGTTGGGCAGGGAGTCGGCCCTCGCAAGGACCTGAATCTCGCTCTACAGCGACTTCGCTGGTGGGCCAGGCCAGCGGCGGATCGTTCACTGGGTTCGCGACTGGCACATTCAAATGTGACCCAGCCGGGAATCGAACCCCAGGCTCTGATACCAAATGTAACACCTCGCTACCCACTGGGTCAAAACGAGGGTTGTATTTGAGGCGCAGCGGATGCTCTCATACCCTTACGTGTAAGCCCCACAGGCGTTACACCCCCGTTACCCACCTGCACCCACCCCCGTTACCCACACACACCCCCGTTACCAACCTGCACCCACCCCCGTTACCCACCTGCACCCACACCCGTTACCCACCTGGTGCGAGCGGTAGAAGACCGCAATGTCAGTGCCAAAGGCTGCAAAGGTGCGGTCGCGGTGCGAGGTCAGTGCGCGAATAGACTTGGGGAGTTCCGATCCTGAGAGGGTTGGGAAGTGGGGTTGAAGCTTTCGGGTTTGGAGTTCAAGGGTTTCTGAGGCGACTCAAGTCGCAGCAAAGGTGCGATGTTGATGAGATATGAGAGGACGGATAGCCATAGGGAGCTGTTCCTGGTAGGGGCTTAAGGACACGGGTTTCGGGTTTAAGACACTAAAGGCCCAGCTTAGAAAAGACATAGATTTTTACATTTCAGAGCTGAATAAGAATAGACTATTGAGAGGATATACTTAAGCTCAGTAAGGGGGCGGCTTGAGGTGCAGATGGGAGAGAGTAGACTCACCAACGAAGACCAGGCGAAGCTTCGCGCACTGATTCCATTCGGAACGGCGTCACGAACGCGGAAACGAAACGGGTTACCATTAACCGCCCAGGTCCAGTTTCGCACGCAATGCCGGATGGGAGAAAGGGAAACAGTAAACCGTAAAGAGGGGAAGGGAAGCATAGAAATGACCACGTAGTGCATGAATGAAGGGAAGAGAAACACGATAAGACTATAAGACACGACCAGAGAACGAAGGGCACGGGGAAGAATCGCTCAAATGCAGCTCTAGCCTGTGGTACTGAACGGTCGCCTGCGTAACACGAACCCTGAACCACCACTGCTAGCCCGAAACCTATCGTGACCACACTGTAGGGTCTCATACGTACGTTGTAGATTTGCCAGGCGCGACCGACGCTAACGGTTACGTACGTCTCGGTTCCCACCCGCCGTACGGAGAACGGCGTGTCATCTGTGATGTACCCTATCGCCCTGAACGGCTGAAACAACGGCATGGCTCCCGCCCAGCCACTCTAAACGAAACAATATTCGAGGTGAACGTTGCCGAGAATTAAGTCTGATATGATTACCGCGACCCTGAACTGACGCGGTATGCACCGAATGCGGTAAGACTCGACTGCTGTCGAATGGTGGCCGTGGCTGTCTGAGGGGTTCCAAGCACGCCTAAAACCTTCATGCGGCAAGAGTGAGGTTCGTTAAGATCCCGCATTTTTTGGGATTGTTTACACGCTATCGTTCTGGGTAAAAGTTATGTTCCTTTCCTCGAGGGCAACCACATTGTAGACCATATCAACTGAAATTTACGTCCTATTTGTAGTATTTTAGTTTAATAATTCAATAAAAAATAAATAAATGTAGAATATACATAGGCATCTACCTGATATTACTTAATGATGCCTTACCTAGGATAGAGAGCTCAAATAGCAATATAGTGTACCAGTCTGATTGCAGAGTGGCGATTGCGCTATAACGGCGTGTCGTCGTGGAGCTTTTGTGCAGCTTTTGCTGCCTGCAGGCTCCCCGTCATCAAAGTGTCCCTTCAAGAGCCCGCACCTAGACCAACCGTCACGGCGCCTGATTGGGCAGGGGCGACCTTCGCAGGCTGCCCTGGTTCATCGAACCTATCTGCTTCGGCGTGGCGGTTTGGGTCTCGGCTGGAGAAGTGAAAAATGCCCGCCATGGTTCGCCGAGCCAAACCTGACTTTCTAGTCAGAGGATACACCCAAGTTTGCTGGACTTGTTGCCAGGGCCAAGATTCATTCATTCCTTTGAACTTTATCCAGAAGTTGTAACATCCTAAACAACCGCTCTGAATCGCACAAAAGTGAACTCTTACGACCAGCCACTTCCATCATTTCAGTCTCCATCTCTGTTGTTTTGACTTCTGGCCTTCACACAATTTCACCCCAGCAGTGAGCAGCGTGCATTGCCTGCTATCTGCCGGTAGTTCCGTCGTGATTTCGTTCTCGTTCATTCACTTCCCACACCGGAATGGCGACCGCCGACGAAACCAAGGGCCTTCGCCCTCCGTCGACCACGATCGCTACTGACATGACACAGGCACGTCGCTTCACTCCAGTGCTCTCAGAGAACGCTTTACGATTTTTCTTAATTGCTAGATACATCAATTGAAGTAAAACATGTTCCTTTCACGAATTTCGATTCTTAACGAGCCGTAATTTGCATTTGCTATGTAGTTGGTCGGCAAGACCCCCATGGTTTATCTGAACAAGGTGACGGAGGGATGTCTGGCCAACATTGCGTGCAAGCTGGAAATCATGGAGCCCTGCTGTAGCGTAAAGGACCGGTACGTTACGCCCGTGTGTCATGCTCATATCGCGTTTGTCGTGTTTCTTTGTCAGTAGGTCAACATAGCGTACAAATTGGAGATTATGCATCGTCAAGGACCGTACGTCTGTCTGTTTGTCGTTGTTTCCGTGTGCCTTGTTCATGTCGCGTATGTCGTGTCTCCGTATCTTGGCCAAAAATTGGTGCAAGGCGGTATCTGGTACGTTTCGTGTATGTCTGTCGTGTTTCCGCCGTGTGTCGTGTTCATGTAACCGCGTATGCCATTTATTAGTGTTCATGTCGGATATGTCGTTATTCCGCTGTCTGTCATAGCATATGTATGTCATGTTCCCGTGAAAATCAGCTTTCAAGAATCACGACCTTGTTTATTGTGGTGTGTGTGGTGTCTATGTCTAACCTTCATTTTCAGAATCTAATGGCAAGGGAAACGGTTTATTGCTCGTATTTTATGCTCATTGTGTTGTGTGTGTTTCGTGTTCCCTGTCTGCGTGCATTTTCGTTTCCCACCCCGTTCAGTATCGCCGTGAGCATGATCACAGACGCGGAGGAGAAAGGCCTCATCACTCCAGGCAAGGTACGGATTAGGGTGGACGATCGTTCCCTTGTCGTGCTCATATCCTTTATGCCGTGTTCCCTTCAGTATCGCCGTGAGCATGATCACAGACGCGGAGTAGAAGGCGCTTATCACTCCAGGCAAGGTACGCGGACACCACAAGTACATGTCGTTACAACTCGTACCAACAGAGGTCCCGGACCAATCGTATCAAAGTCCCTCTGATCACATTTGACCGACCAGTGGAGGTGGGTGGGAAGAGGTGAAAGAGAAAGCGCAGCAGGCATGAATTTGATTCTCAGGTGAAGGAAAACTCTGCTGCGTCTCTCTGGGTAAAGTGTGCTGGTGAAGCTGTCGAGTGGCAACACGGGCATTGGCTGCAGTGGGTCGCACAGCCTCGTCTTTCTGCCTCGTTTTCCTGATTCCCAAGCTGACATTCACCCGCTCTTCTCCCCTTGGACAGAGCGTGTTGGTGGAGCCGACCAGCGGCAACACGGGCATCGGATTGGCCTTCGTGGCGGCAGCGAGGGGCTACCAGCTCACTCTCACCATGCCCGCCTCCATGAGCCTCGAGCGCCGCGTGCTGCTCCATGCTTTCGGGGCAGAGCTGGTTGAGGGCGCACCTGAAGCTGCGGCTGCTGCATGTGAATTTCCCCTTCCCCTGCTCCCTCCCTCCCGTTCCCCGCCCCCTTGTCCCCCCGTCAGAGCGTGTTGGTGGAGCCAACGAGTGGCAACACGGGCATCGGATTGGCCTTCGTGGCGGCAGCAAGGGGCTACCAGCTCACCCTCACCATGCCCGCCTCTATGAGCCTCGAGCGCCGCGTGCTGCTGCGCGCGTTCGGGGCGGATTTGGTTCTGACCGACCCTGCCAAGGGCATGAAGGGCGCGATTGCTAAGGCGGAGGAGATTGTGGCGAATACTGAAGGCGCTTACATGCTGCAGCAGTTTGAAAACCCGGCGAATCCCAAGGTGAGAAAGTGGGGAAGGGGAGTGTGTGGGGGAGATTTTTTCAAGATGAGATGGAGGGGAGTGTGTGAGGTGCAATAATCCCAAAGTGAGAACGAGGGGGAAACGTAGAACTTTGTAGGTACCTGAAACGTAGAACCAAAGGATAGAGCGCAGCAGCCAGCTGGTATCAGTTAGCTGTCTTCCCCCCTCTCTCTCTGCTCTCCCTCGCCTGCCCCCTCCTGCTTTCCAGGTGCACTTTGAGACAACGGGCCCTGAGATCTGGGAGGGCTCGAACGGCCATGTGGACATTCTGGTGTCTTCCCACCTCTGGCCTCTAATCCTCCACCCACTCTCCCACCCCTGCTCTCTCCCCTACTCAGGTGCACTTTGAGACAACAGGCCCTGAGATCTGGGAGGGCTCGAACGGCCATGTTGACGTTCTGGTATCGGGGATTGGCACGGGTGGCACCGTCACAGGCGCTGGAAGGTTCCTCCGGAGCAAGAATCCGGATGTGAAGGTGAGGATTGTCGTAATCATGGGTCACGTGGGCATTCTAATGTTGGTAAGCAGTATGGGTGGCACCGTTACAGGCGCTGGAAGGTTCCTCCGGAGCAAGAACCCAGATGTGAAGGTGAGTGGCCTTTCCTCTTTTTTATGGTCATGTCATAACTCATGTGTCATGTCATGGGTCATGATTGATGGGTCGTGGGTCATGGCTGATGGGTCGTGGGTCATGGCTGATGGGTCGTGAGTCATGGCTGATGGGTCGTGAGTCATGGCTGATGGGTCGTGAGTCATGGCTGATGGGTCATGATTAAAGTGTCATGGGGCATGGCTGATGATGGGTTAGGCGTTCATGAGTCATGGCATGGCATTCACTATCTGAGGCCAGTTAGGCTCTCTGACTAGTGATTGCGCCACTTCCTTCCGGAGTGTATGAGAACCTGCTGCTAATGAGATAGGCTCGCTCACTAACTAGCAAGTGCACCATTGTCTCATTCCCTTTGTGAGTATCGCCTTTTTCCATCTTCTCTGATTGGCTGCAGATCGTGGGAGTGGAGCCCAAAGAAAGCCCTGTGATCTCAGGTGGAAAGCCAGGTGAGAACAACAGGCACAAGGGGAAAGCCAAGCCAGGTGATAATAACAGACCCAAGTGGAGGCCAGGTGAGAACAACAACACAGGCCGTTTTGTTCTTTGCAATTCTGTCCATCTGAATATCCATTTGTCCATCAATCTTGTCACTTTCACTTCACTTCTCCTTTTAACCTGCGTTCATATGGCATACCCCTGTTTTGTATCGCAACCCGCATACATGCTTCCTATATCCTACGCAATGGCCCCGTTATTCTACAAAAAAAAAAAAAAAAAAAAAAAAAAAAACATGTTTGCTGCCAAAATTCCCCAACCAACCCGCGTACCCCACTGTCTTTCCCTCACCCCACCATTCCCACTTCTTTACCCAGGCCCGCACATAATCCAGGGCATAGGCGCCAACTTTGTGCCTGTGTGCGCCCCCATTCGTCAAATCTCTCTTTTCCTCACCCCACTAATCCCACTTGTCCACCCAGGCCCACACAAGATCCAGGGCATAGGCGCCGGCTTTGTGAGTCCTAGTTCCGAACACTCTCTTCCCCCCACCCCACCCTCCCCACCCCCCCCACCCTCCTCACCCTCTCCACCCAGGCCCACACAAGATCCAGGGCATAGGCGCCGGCTTTGTGCCGGGAGTGCTGGACGTGGGCCTTCTTAGCGAAGTGGTGCAGGTGGGCTCTTTTCTTAAAGTAACTGGGTGTGGTTCAAGTCAAGTGTGGCTTCTAGGGTAACTGGGTACAGCTATCAAGTCAACTCGCAAGTGCCGGGAGTGCTGGACGTGGGGCTTCTTAGCGAAGTGGTGCAGGTAAGTGCGGATTTTAGAATGATTGGATTGGATTTATGTTGTCAAATTGAAAGTCTCGAGATGATCACTAAGCAAAGCTTTTTAGGCCTGGACTGATGACTTCGGGGCTGTTAGGAAGGGCATTGTCTTTATTGTTGAGGGTTTTGCTGAGAGCTGAAACTGATAGATTCTTTGTAACTGCATCGCCATTCTAAGTGGATTCTTTCACTTCTCCACTTGAGTAATTGTCTATGCAGAAACGAAGCGAGGGAGATGGAGGGTTGTTTTCTTGGAGTTCTCACAGTTGCACTCAGCCTCACCACGTTTTGCACTCCCCGCTTTCTCCCTGACCAGGTGTCCAGCGACGAAGCAGTGGATATGGCAAAGGAAGCGTTTTAGTAGTACCAAATACACCCTGCTTTTTACCTTGTTTTCATCCTCGCCCGTCTCCCTGACCAGGTGTCCAGCGATGAAGCAGTGGAGATGGCGAAGCAGCTCGCACAGAAGGAAGGGCTGCTGGTGAGTGCCATTGACTGAAGAGTGCGGTTTAGATGGTGCTGCGTGGTTGAGATAGTCTTTTATCAGGCTGTTAATATTCTACAAATTATCCCTGTTCAGTATCCACTCAGGTGGGGCATGCTCACAGTTTGTTGCAAAGCGTGTTTGGTATCCCTTCTATCTCTCATTCTTCTCTCTCCAGGGGAAATTATCATGACAAGCTTTTGTTCCGTCCAGAATCACCTATTTCCTTTCCATGCTCCCTGCCTAACTCCTGTTTTCTCCAATGCAGGTGGGGATTTCATCGGGAGCAGCAGTCGTTGCAGCAATCGAAGTGGCCAAACGGGCAGAGAACGCTGGGAAGCTCATCGTGGTATGTCCTGTGCCAGCTGTGATATCAGTGTTCTTACAGTCCATTCTTTTTAGCGCGGGGTTGTTCCGCTTTCAGCTTCTCCTTGATGAAGTTGTCTCCATGCTCTTCGCTTTCTTCTGCACTGCTCTGCTAGGTGGTGCTGCCAAGCTTTGGCGAGCGGTACCTTTCCTCGGTCCTCTTCTCTTCACTTCGCGACGAGGCGCTCGCTATGCAGCATGCATAAGCAAGAAATGGCGTGGAGGTAGTTTCATTTAGGAGCGCTCCCGTCCCAATGATTTTTAGGGGAAAATTCCAGATTGAATGAATCCTGGCTACATCTCAATTTATTGTATGTGCAGTAAGGTAATGATAGTACAGTACATCGAATATCCAGCCTGCCTTTACCGTACATTTTCTTCTTCACTAATGAGTCTTCACTCAAAATAACAAAAAATGTGGGGTGCTGAAATGTGGGGGGGAAACCTTGAATCATATTTTCCAGCTAAAACAGGGCATACCTTATCAATAATAGAACACCAAAACATGGGCAGAGGGTTTAGAGTATCAAAACTCTAGTAAACTCAAATTCGGCAACTCCTATTGCGCTTTCAAGCCTATGTAAGGATGGAGGGAAGAGAAGGTCCACCAAGAAACGCGCAACAGACCCACGTCCCGCACCTTGTAGTCCCTCTGTAAAGTTTCTAGGTCGTGCTCCTGGCAGGTGGGAGGGAAGGAGCACGAGCAGGAGGGAGTGGAGAGGCGGTGGGTGTGTACAAGAGGGACAGGGAGGGACAGGAGAGACACATGGGGGGTGGAGAGGAGGGGTACATGGGAGGGGCAGGAGAAGCACATGGGGAGGGAGAGGGGGGATAGATGGGAGAGGCAGGAGAGATGGTAAAATGGAGGAGAGGAGCACATGGGAAAAGCGAGGGGAGCAGGGCAGAGGGTGGGGGGAAGAAAGCAAAGGCACGAGCAGGAAGGAATGAGGAGAAAAAGGGCATCGCATTGAATGCACCTGCTGATGCATGTTACTGAGAGGCTATCATATCCCTCTAACTCCCCTCATCTCCCACGTCTCCAAATGCCAAGCGGCTCTCGCCTCTCATTCCAGTCAACTCATCCCCCGAGCTCACCTGGCGTGTGTCACCCACTTCTCAGAGGGTGGGGGGAAGCAGGGCATATGATGGGGGAAAGCAGGGAAGAGGGTGGGGGGAAGGAGGGAACGGGATGGGGGGAAGCAGGGAAGAGGGTGGGGGGAAGCAGGGAAGGGGATGGGCGGAAGCAGGGAAGGGGATGGGGGGAAGCAGGGAAGGGGATGGGGGAAAGCAGGGAAGGGGATGAGGGGAAGTAGGGAAGGGGATGAGGGGAAGCAGGGAAGGGGATGAGGGGAAGTAGGGAAGGGGATGAGGGGAAGTAGGGAAGGGGATGAGGGGAAGCAGGGAAGGGGATGAGGGGAAGTAGGGAAGGGGATGAGGGGAAGCAGGGAAGGGGATGGGCGGAAGCAGGGGGGTGGGGGGAAGCAGGGAAGGGGACGGGGGGAAGCAGGGAAGGGGATGAGGGGAAGCAAGGAAGGGGATGGGAGGACGCAGGGAAGGGGATGGGGGGAAGCAGGGAAGGGAATGGGGAGAAGCAGGGAAGGGGATGTGGGGTAGCTTACCTCTCCTTCTGTCCTTGCCCCCCTCTGTCCCTCCCCCACTTTTCTTACCCCCTTCTGTCACTCCGCTTCTCTGTCCCGGATGGAAACGCGGATGACGAGAGGAAGCGCGAGTAACAGGGAGGCAAGGCCGACGACGGGACGCGCGGGCGACGAGGGGAGGCGAGGGCGGCGAGGGTCGGCAAGGGTGATGAGGGGAAGAGCGAGCGACGAGAGGGAATGTGGGTGACTAAGGGAGGTGAGGGCGGCGAGGATCGGTGCGGGTCGACGAGGGTGATGAGGGGTGCGCGGGTGACGATCTGAAGCACGGTATGTTCACTATCAGTGATTGCGACGAGGGGATGTGTGGTTGACGTGGGAAAGCGCGGGCGACTAGGGGAACATATGCGACCAGAGGGTCGGCGAGGGTGATGAGGGAAAGCGCGGGCGACGAGGAAAGCGGTCTGACGTGGTCGACGAGGGGGAACATATGCGACTAACGGCAGCGTGCGTAATGCGAACCTGTACAGCATTCGTGTGAGTGACCCGTGCCTAAAACGGTACAATCGTGACACGAGGCTGAGCCGCAGCAAGGGTGACAGGAGCCTGCGTGTGCGACGCGAGCTTGAATGCAAGACGGGTTTAACGCGAACATCGTTCACTAACGTAAGTGCCGCGGGTGAACGGGTTGTAACACGAGACTGGTGACGTGAGGGGGAGATCGGAGCGTGCACTAACTAAGATGGTTGAGGTGGATACCTATATTCTTTCCGCACAAAAAAAAAACCCTATCAACGACTCGCTTTTGCCAACTAGCGCTAGTTTTTGCCTTGGAGCCTCTAGTCTGTGAGTACTACTTGGTAAGCAAGTTAGGGTGCGTCAGATCCGTTGTTTGGCGATCATGCGTCAGTTCTGTTTTTGGGCACTCAGGTTCCGTTGTCGCAGGACGATTGCCTGGGGTCGCGAGAGTTTCTTCAAAACAAGTAGGGTAACCCTGTTTTTGGCGATTTCAAGTTCAAGAATCTTGAACTTGACAATTGCCATGCTGTACTCGGGCTGAAGAATGTGTAGGTGTGAATGTGGGAAGTGAGATTCCTTGTATGGATTTACAAATCCTTACTGAGGCACTCGTTAGCGAGTACATCTTGAAGGTCACGCGACGAACCTGTCCTTCCTATTTCGTCGCACCGAACCACTCCCGAGTCGGCCTCCGCTCCAAACACAACCATCACCAAGCCATCCTCGCCCAACCTCCCCGCCTAGCTAGCTTTTCCCCTTTTTAGGCCTCGGCATTCTCATTGTATCGTCATTCAGTAATTCAGTAATCATTTCATTCTCGATATTCGTTATTCTGCGCACTCTGCAAGTTCATTCATAACACCTGGTATCAAAGCTACTTTCCTAGCCTACCCCGCTTTTTAGAGTGTAATACCCCTCGGGGGGGGGACGATGAAGGATGTCTTGGGGTCCAGGAGTTGCGTAGGCCGGCCAGGAGAACAAGTTACTTGCTCCTCGCGGCTATGCTTTTACGGGTACTCCTTCGGCACCGCCAGATCCCTGCCTCGAACGGTCGTGATCGACCGTGGCCTCCCTCCCCCCGCGCAACGGACAGCTGAAGTTGTCGCGACGTTAAACGTGAGTTACTATTCCGCTGCGATTTACCGACGATTCGGAAGTTTTGTGTGGCAGGTGGCGTCAGCGGACATGCTTCGGCACCTGCACGAAATTCGCGGAGTCGTCAACGGGTGTGGCAGTTGACGCCGTCGGACCTGGGTCAATAGCTGCGCGACAATTTCAGAGTTCGTCTGATGCGGCAATTTACGACGGTGGCTCGTCGTCATTTTGCGCGCATGACTCGCGGAATGTGTTTCAGCAGCTAGCGACAACGGACGTGCGTCACTGTGGGCGACATTTTCGGAGCAACTGTGGAGAAAACGTCGGTTGGGGAACTCGCTAGGCGCAAATGGAGTTTTTGAGAATAAGCGATCAAGGTCAAGATCAAAGATAGCTACACCAGCCCTAGACAGCTCTCCCCAGCGGGGGATCTCAGAGGCCTCCGGAAACTGCTGGCGCCAAGCGTCGGTCAAGCGGGCAAAACAGCGGCGGGCGGTGTGGGTGCCCCCACACTGCTCACCCGCACGGTCGCCGGTGCGAAGGACGTAGGTGCAGGGACCGAACGCCCCACCACGCTGACGCTGGGAGTACCACTCACGGAGCTGCTGAGGGGTGGGGACGTCGCGAGAGCGCTGCTGCTGCTGCTGCTGCTGCTGGCGCTGACTACCTCCAGTGGTGCTCCGCTGGGACGAGCCACTCCGACCACCTCCACCACCGCCACCCCCGCCTCCGCCGCCACCGCCGCCACCGCCACCCTCGCCCCCGCCGCTCCCACCGCCACCACCACCACCACCTCCGCCTCCACCGCCGCCACTAGTACCTCCACTCCCGCCACCACCTCCACTGCCACCCCCACTCCCCCCGCCGCCTCCACCACCTCCGCCACCGCCCCCGCTAGCTCCACCTGCTCCCTTGCCCCCTTTGCCCCTGCCAGGGCGGCGCCTACCGCTGGGGGCAGACGCCGCACCGACCGACTCCAAACCAACGAGGTCGGCCGCAACAGCAGAGGCGACAGAGGGAAGTAGGGGGGAAGGAGAACACCCCTCAAAGATGGGGGTGCGAGGGTCACCACGAGAGGCCCCTACAGCGACGATACTCTTCTCAGCCGCTAGCAGGGACTTCTCAAGGAGGTCGACAGTGAGGGTGGTGGGACAGACAGAGAGAAACTGGTCCCTAACGGCACGAAGGGACTCAGGGAGACGGGTGACTAGAAAGTAGAGAGTGATGTACATGGGAGGAGGGTTTGCGGCGCGGAACTCAGCAGGAAGCGCAGCGCGGTAGCGAGTGTCACTAGCGCGGAGGTGGGTAAAGAGGTCAGCGACTGTGGGAAAGGCAGCGAGGTCAGGGAAGAGGAACGGTAGCATGAGGCGGCTCAGCGTAGCGGAGGAAGGGGAGGAGTAGCGCGCAACTACAGCGTCGTACAAGGCCTGAGCGGTCTTGCACTGACTAAAGTGTGCACGCTCGGAGGAAGGGAGGTGGCGACGCACAGCAAGACGTGCAGCAGCATCGCGCGTGGCCCACTTGGAGCGAACAGAGGGGTCAGCATCAGCAGGAGGGGCAGGGACAGCGCCAGAGACAAAGTCAAAGAGAGAAACCTCATCGATCGCATCGCACAGTAAGTACAGCTGCAGGTCCTCGACCCAGACTGCAAAGTCAACGGCGCGACCCTCAGCGTCAAAAGACAGGACACTGGGGGTGGCCATTATAGCAGCTGACAGTCTCACCGGGCGGGAAGAGTCGGGTAGCTCAGGAGTACAGCCACACAGCAGCACAGCAGCTACGGCGGCCCAGGAGCAGCAGCAGCCCCCACAGGAACAGGAGGCCGACGCCTCAGGCTGCTCGGGCGGCTCGGGCGGCTCGGGCGACTCGGGCGGCTCGGGCGGCTCGGGCGGCTCGGGCGGCTCGGGCGGCTCGGGCGGCGCGGGCGGCTCGGGCGGCGCGGGCGTCTTGCGGGCGACAGCACGGGCGGCTGGGGCGGCTCGCGGGTGGCTCACGGGCGGCTGGGGCGGCTCGCGGGCGGCGCACGGGCGGCTTACGGGCGGCTGGGGCGGCTGCACGGGCGGCTCGAGGGCGGCGTCGGCTGCTCACGGGCGGCGTCGGCGGCGACGGCGGCGTCAGCGGCTCACGGGCGGCGTCGGCGGCGTTGGCGGCGTCGGCGGCTCACGGGTGACGTCGACGGCGTCGGCGGTGCACGGGCGGCGTCGGCGGCGTCGGCGGCGTCGGCGTCGTGGGCGGTTCACGGGCGGGCGGCTCACGGGCGGGCGGCTCACGGGCGAGCGGCTCACGGGCGGCGGCTCACGGGCGGCGGCTCACGGGCGGCGGCGTCACGGGCGGCGGCGCACCAGCGGCGGTTGACGGGCGGCTGCGCTGACGGGCGGCGCTCACGGGCGGTGCTCACGGGCGGCGCTCACGGGCGGCGGCGCACGGGCGGCAGCGCACGGACAGGCCGCGGGCGGCGAACGGGCGCTAGGGCGGGCGCCGGGCGCTAGAGCGCTAGGGCCGGCGCTAGGGCGGGCGCTAAGGCGGCCGCTAGGGCGGGCGCTAGGGCGCTAGGGCGGGCGATAGGGTAGGCGCTAGGGCGCAAGGCGCTAGGGCAGAAAAAAAACTTTTAAGTGGTGGGCCCTAA